AAAGAGGCACAAAGTCCCGAGAAGGTCCTCTTCCAAGAGGCACCGAGTCCTCTTCCCGAGGAACTAAAAAGAAAGAAAAGTCCTCTCTCAAAGAGGCACAAAGTCCCGAGAAGGTCCTCTTCCGAAGAGGCACAAAGTCCCGAGAAGGTCCTCTTCTAAAGAGGCACAAAGTACCGAGAAGGTCCTCTTCCAAAGAGGCACAAAGTCCCGAGAAGGTCCTCTTCCAAAGAGGCGCAAAGTCCCGAGAAGGTCATCTTCTAAAGAGACACAGACCCGAGAAAGTCCTCTTCCAAGAGGCACCAAATCCCCGAGAAAAGTCCTCTTTCGAGAGACACTAAGTTAAATCCTTACCCACGAGGTAACGAGGCCCTCCAAAAAAGAAAGTCCTCTTGTCGAGGTTCCAAGAAAAGTTTTATCCCATGAGGCAACCCACCGAGTCATATAATTTTGAATCTGTCTCGTTCCCCGAGACAGACTCAAAACTAGGGGGGCATGTGATGGATTAGGGATTTTTCCTAATCCAATATTATTTGAACAGTGCAAGAAAGCCCAATTTTATCTGGCCCAATATATAAATTAGATAAATTATCCAAGACAGAACCAGAAATATATGGACAGAATAATATATTTGAAGTGATGTGGAGACATTTGGCGGGACCTGTGGAACACTATTACATGAAAACCACATGTCGCACATGGGCTTCACATGGACAATGTCCCTTCTTGTCTCCACCAATTATTCCCTTCCCCCCCTTTAAATGAAGTTACGAAGAGAAGGGAGGGGAGGCCAAGGCTAGATTCCTACAAGTTCCTACTACTATATTCTTCATTCTTCTTCTTCTTTTAGCTTGGAGCTCCAATAATGACTCCAAGTTCCTACAATGATGTATATGTAAATTCCCCTGAGATTAATAAAAGTTCTTCCCCTTTGGCATGGCACTGCCTAAAAAGGCCCGTGGTTTTCTCCCGATTTGGGTTTCCACGTATAAATACCTTCTCTCCGCCTTATTTATTTATTTATTTTCTGGATTTCGCTATTCGGTGCGGTGCCGACCCGGTACCGATTTCATCGGGTCGACGCCCCGAAAAAGCGGTTTCCATCAGATAGTTTTTTAAAAATAGAAGCTTCGAGTTACTTATGAAGCATATATACCAATCATTATATAAATACTTATTTTGAAAAAAGTAAAAACGAAACGTGGTGGGTATTTTTACAAATTTACATAAAAATAAATTTATTTTGTCGGATATTTTCAATATTAATTAAAATATTTGTAACTGCATTTGTCCTTTTCCTTATTCCTTTAAATATTTTCCATGTTAGTGAAAATATTTATATGAAACTCCACATGGAATTTCCCATTATTTTATAATTTATATGAAAATATGTATGAATAATTTAATGAGTTACAAAAAAATCATACAAACATATTCATTTTTGCCAAAGTTTTCCTCTTTTAAAATTTAATATATAATTTTATTTTTAAAATAATAAAATTTAATGAGGAATTTTATTTCTAAAGTAATTATGTATATTAAGAGCTTTAATAAGGAAACTTCCATTTAATGCTCTTGCTGACATGGATGAGGAGGTGTTAAAAAAATTGTCCAGTCAGCATGCCAAGTGTTATAATTCTGGAAGCTCAACTCTTCTTTTTGATATATAAAAGATAAAGGATTAGGATATATATAGGGAAGAGAATGTAATTGTAGAGAAAGCTTTTACTCATTGAGTGAAAGAATATATAATAGTGAAGAGTAGTAAAAGAATATTCTGGTGTGTGCTGCCTCTTAAGTTACTTCGGCTTCCACAGTGAGACAGTGTTAGCCAAGGAGGAGTGCCCACTTGAGCGGACCCAAACCACTAGCCCCATATTTACTTCACTACAGTATTTTTTTACCATTTTCATATATTGTTATTCACCTCTACAAAGTCCGTGGATAGTGAAATTGGACCCTGGGCTGCTCAATAGTATGAGAAAAAATTTCAGGTATCCATCAAATATAATGTGTGGTTATCAAATAATTCTCTATGTCAATCTAAACAAATTCTAACAATATATGTTGATAGTTTTTTGTTTTTTTGGTATTACATATTCACACTCTTTGACATTATGTCATATAGAGTATTTTCACTGTTTTGGTATAAAAATATTGAAAGTCTTACCTTGGTATAAGAGTCATGTTTTAATTCTATTAGGCAATTCTCCCAAAGGCAATTCTGATCATAAAGAGGGGAGGGAGGGGGGATGAGCTGGGGTTTAAGAGAATGGTATGAACAATCAATTTAGCATGAGGACACCGTATGTGTATCAAAATACATAGATTGTTCTCGGGTCATTTTTTTATAAGGTTAAAATAACTTTGACATATTTATAATATTGTTAAATACAGAGTATATCAAAAAACAATTAAAAATTTAGAACATATTCTAAGAAATTTAGGGGAGGTGTATTCAATTGGGATTGTACATGATTTTTTTAGATTTTAAAAATCTATGGGTATTCAACACGGATTTTAAAAAATCATTTAAAATCTTGTTGTACTCAATTCAGATTTTAAATTTAATGGTATTGAAAAAGTGGTGGATTTTTAAAGAATTTCATGGAGTACGGATTCTGATGGATTTTAGGGCATTCGATATAAATAAGAACCTTGGTTGAAATCTCATCATATAGCTAAAGATTTTGATGGATTCGTTCCAATGAAAGTCTGTCCAGGGAGATGGGGGAGACGCCTGGAACAAAAGGTCATCGACAGCGGCGATTGCGATAAGGCTAGTTGATTTCGGCAAGATCTTATAATTGCAAATAAATATCAGGGTCATGTTCATATAGATCTGGATTTTATATACTTTTAAAATCTACACAAATCCATTGATTATAAAAATCTAATACAATCTATTAAAATCTAAGTTGAATACACATTTTTTTGGGTTCAAAATGCAATTGTAAATGCTTAGTATAAATTTGAATATTTTAAAACTAAATCTCATTGCTCGTTGGGTTGACTTGAGCCTAACGAGACTAGATCATGAATATATAGTTATCAACTCGACAATGATGATAATGGATCATGAATATGTAGTTGTCATCCGGAGTCTGATGACCATAGATCAAAGAACATGTAGTTGTCCAATCAAACGAGAACTTACACAAACTAGATTAGGGTGAGCGAGTACTGAACCGATTTCAAAATTTCTTGAAAAAACTGAGAATATTGAGTCGAAAGAAACTGAACTGAAAAAACACTGCAAAAGAACCGAATTGTACCGAGCCGAATGGTCTTTACAGTCTTTGAGAAGGATACAAGGTAACTACTTTCCATGTCGAAAATCCAAACCAAACATATATACTATTTTCTCCGTCCACAAATAAACTTTACGTTCACTATTCACAGGGTCAAACTTTATTTACTTTGTTAGCCTATTTTCGTCACCTATTTAATAAAATCATATAGTCATGTCACCTCTAGTTTTGTAGATCTTTTGATATAGTTTTTTAATATGTAATTTTTATTTTTCAATTCTACACCATTTTTTATATAAAATGACTTAAAAATAACTTCAGTCAAACATCGTAACGCGCAACGTAAAGTTTATTTGTGGAAGGAGGGAGTAACATTTTACAATATAAAAAATAATATTCTTTTTATACTTTTTTCATTAAATTATAAATTTATTTTGAATATTTAGTTCAAGTTTTATCATATATGTAGTTTATATTTTTATTCGATTTTTAGTTTTTTATAGATGAATCACCTTGGTTCCCATGACATTGGGAACCAATGTCATGGGATGACCCGGAGACGCTCCGGTGCCCCGTTCATAAAATTGACGGTTTCTACCCCCAGTAAACCCCCCAGCCCTCCCCGACCCGAACGCACCCCCCACCCCCTTCAATTGAATATATAAAAATGTCAACAAACATTCAAAGTACCATCTTATGATCCTTTATTTTTTAGTTTGTAAAATATAAACCAAGGTTTAATAAAGTATTTAGTTATTTGTTTTTCAGTTTTTTATTTTCTTAATTTAAATGTAATTTCAATTTTTTTAAATAAAGGAGTCTACTTTTTAGGCCTCATTTGGCATCAACGTCAGAGATTAGCGTTTTGAAAAAGATATTTGACATTAGCCTTTAGCGTTAGTATTTTCAGAATTAATCTATACTGTTAAAATTTTATCCAAAACGCGCTAATCGAAAACGTTGTTACCGAATAAAGCCGAATGTAAACTATCCTAATTTGTACTAGCCTTGTGGTTATCCCTTCTCCTTCATTCGCATCACTTACGCGCAGAGGCTTGAGCAGCGCCAGCCCCAAACCCCCAAACCCTAGTTCATCTCCGTGGAATCTTCGATCCTTAATTCCTTCCCCAGATCGCCACGCCAACCATTTGTGATATTTGTCCGTGTCCAACACTCCAACCTTTGCAGCCGCGGCTGCAGCGCAACCGTAGACGGCGGTCACTTAGGGGCGGTTCCGCGGTCGGGCAGCAACTCCGGCCGCCACGGTGATTTCACCGCCGTTCGCCACTTCGCCGGATTCCCTCCGCCAGCCCAGTCCGTCGGTTACCCTGAGCGAATCATCGTAAGCCCTGCTTCTTAGCTTGTCAATTTTCATCTCCAATTCAATTGACAATGAGCCCTGCTTCTTAGCTTGTCAATTGTCATCTCCAATTCAATTGACAATGAAAGGTAATACTTACGATATACTCGTACTAATTGTGATTTTTATGTACTCTGTATTAATTACGGAGTATGAATTGCATTTAAAATTATGATATTAATGAGTTACTGTTTTATGTGATCTTAGGTTTAGAATCTTATTATAAAAGATTAAAACCTACACTTCTACAAGATCATGTAATCGAACTTGAAGTTCAACCACAATCTCCAAATGAAAGTACTCAAGGAACACCACCGATTGAAGAAGTTCAAACCCAACTCCCAACTCAAGAGATACACGACTGAATTCACACATCAATTCTTGAAGCAGATCTTGGAAAAAGATTTCCAGTGAATTTGATGAATAGAAGCAAAGATGTTGACATTATTTCTGACCAAGTAAAAGAAGATAATCGTATCCATTCGAAGACGTATTTGAGCTGTGTCAGATTTCTTTTAGGTAGTGTTTGGCAACTAGGATTTCATTTCAATTCATGTATTTCAATTCCAAAATTTGAAATCTAGAATTTCAAATGACAAGGGGAGGGGCATGGATTTAAAATTAAGCTTTGTTATGAATGAGAAGAATTTGATTCAAATTCAAATTCAAAATTTGTAAGTTTCCCAAACATGGAATTTGAGCCAAATCCGGATTTGAAATCCAAATCCACGTTCCCAAACATACCACTAAGAAATTGTCTTCCTTCTTCGATGAGTCTGAAAGTTCAAATAGAAAAGGATTGTTTCTTGAGACTTTGAATTTTTATGCCATGCCAAATGAAGAGATGCGAAGTGTAGTTTTGAATAATGTTTTTGAGAATAACAAATTGGCATCTCCAGAAATCCAAAGAGATCTTGCAATTGCTTGTGCTGATTTAACATTACAGGCAATAGTCAGCGAAATTGGAGATGATTATTATTCTTTGTTTGTTGGTGAAGCTCGTGATGCATCAATTAAAGAGCACATGGTTGTGATTTTGCGTTATGTGAACAAGCAAGGCATAATTATGGAGAACTTTATTGGAACTATCCATGTTTCAGGTACTACACATGCCTCATTAAAAGTAGCAATTGATGAACTTCTTGCTAAAACAGGTTTGAGTTTATCGAAGTGTCGTGGTCAAGGATACGACGGGGCTAGCAACATGAGATGTGAGTTTAGTGGTCTTAAAAATTTGATTTTGGATGAAAATAGGTCCGCATACTATATTCATTGTTTCGCTAATCCATTACAATTGGCGCTTATAGAGGTTGCTAAAAGCGATCAAAAAATTCAAGAACTTTTTGACATTCTTCAAAAAATGGCTAATGTTGTTAATGGCTCATGTAAGAGAACAGATATTTTACATGAAAATCAATACGAATTGATGGGTGAAAGAATTGTTTATGGTGATGTGTCTAGAAGAGATTCAAGTCAAGAAACTACTTTGAGAAGATCGGGTGACACATGTTGGGGTTCCCACTATGGTTCAATTGTGAGTGTAATTTCATTATTCTCTCATATAGTTTCTTTGATGAATATCATTGAAGATGATCCCAAGAATGATGCATTAAGAACAGAAGCATCCACCATTTTGTATGTTATTGATGACTTTGAGTTTGCTTTCGTTTTGCATTTGATGGAGAAAGTCTTGGGGATTACTTATGAGTTGTCTCAGGCATTGCAAAGAAAAGAACAGGATCTTGCTAATGTAATTGCTTTAGTGAGAATTGCAAAAATTAGATTGCAAACTTTGAAAAGTGTTGGTTTTGAGAAGTTACTTGATGGGGTAATAGAGTTCTGTAAGAAGCATGATATTCATATTCCAAATGTGAGAGATTTCTATCATACGAAAAGAAGATCTAGGCAAAATGCATCCACATTCAAGTTTTCGGAGTATTTCAAAGTGAAGTTATTTGATAACGTGATTGACCAACAACTTCTTGAATTGAATGATCGTTTTGACAATGTCAGCACAAAGTTAATTGAATGCTTGAGTTGTCTTGATCCGCGGAATTCATTTGCTACATTTGACACAAAGAAGTTGATTGAGCTTGCTAAATTTTATCCGGAGGAATTTGACGAGTTTTGTGATCTTTCTTTCCTTTCATGTTCTCTCGAAACTTTTATTCTTGATGTGAAAAGTGATAAAGACTTTGCCAATTTGAAAGGAATAGGAGATCTTGCTCAAAAAATGGTTGAGAAGCAAAAACAAATTGCTTATCCCATGGTTTATTTGTTGGTGAAATTGGCTTTGATCTTACCAGTCGCAACAGCTAGTGCGGAACGTGTATTTTCAGCAATAAACTTGGTCAAGGATGAACTGCGCAGTCAAATATGTGATGAGTGGTTTAATGCGCGTATGTTAACTTATATAGAGAGTGAAAGTTTTGATAATGTCAAAGATGATGAAATCATGCAATATTTTCAAGCAATGAAGCCTAGGAGAGTGCTTTTGTAATGCTTGTGTAATATGACTTTTTGAGGTATGATTTAATATTTATAATATTTAGCATTTATTGTAATTTTTTAGCTTTTATTTTTTTGTGTGACCCCACTATATAAGTTTTTTGGGTTCGCCCTTATCCTTTGATGTCGGCTCTTTCTATCATTGTGAAGCAGATTATTATTTTTCGTCATATTGTGTGAAGTTTTTAATATATATACCCTTACTCAGGAGTTGGTTGATGAAGGTGCAAGAAAGATAGGAATGGTAGGGTTGCCACCCATTGGGTGTATTCCTATTGTCATCACAAAGCACTCCAATGACAGTAATGCGAAAAGTCGTGGTTGTGTTGACAACTTCTCTTCTGTCAACAAAGATTTCAACTCTCAACTCCAAACCTATCTTGAAGCCATGCAGCAGAACTATTCTCATCAGGGTTCTAAGATTGTTTATCTTGATTATGACATTACGTGGGACTTGATCCATCAGCCTGCTAAATACGGTAATAGTTTTTATTTAATTTACTCTCTTTATCCCCCAAAATGTCTCTATTCTCTTAGGTGATGATCAATTTGTATGTGTTTCTAATTACCATCATTTGTGTGATGAGAAATGCATTTTGAAAGAGGAGAATTGTTATTGTGCATTGGATTCGGTATCTATCAATGCTTGTATTTGTCATTTCAATAGTTATATCACACATGCTTCTTTTGACATTAGATTTCAATATCGTACAAGTATTATAATGTTGGATCCATTTGAGATATCTACAATGTTCAGTTTGACCCGAAATTAATTTCTACCCCTAACCATCCCCTCCGACCTCTACCCCCCCACACACCGCCCCACCCCCGATGCACCTCCTCCTTTAGGTGATAATCCACTATCAAAATTTCGATTGTGAATTATGGGTGCGTGGGAAGTTGGAGTCAGACCGGTGGGGCAAGCTATGGGGTGGGGGTTTGAGGAGTGGGTTATTTAGAAGGACTGGGAATCACGTAGTTTTTTGTAGAATTTTACCGAATGTATGAAATTTTACTGAGTTAATTATTGTATTATGACGTTAGGGTTTGAGGTTGTTAACAATGGATGTTGCGGGACGGGTGCGGTTGAGCTATCGTTTCTCTGCAATGTGGCGAGTTCGATTTGTCCGAACACATCAAATTACGTGTTTTGGGACTCTGTTCATTCAACAGAGGCGGCATACCGTGCTATATTTGAATCCCTTCGACCTATTTTTGATAGCTTTTTTTTCATTGAAGTTATTGTAATTTTTACTCCAACTAGTATCACACCCGTGCGTTGCACGGGTCATAGTTACGTTACTAAATTAAGATCTTGTTTAAGAATATAAATTTCTATATATTGGAATGTAGAGTTTTCATTATTTAAAAGTACAAAAATAAAATGATTTACAAATTTTGAAAGACTTCTTTGTAAACTACATTACTCGTATAATTCGTGTGAGCATTCATTTCGTTGTATATCAGAATCTTCAAGCCATTGCAATTTATTACTCTTGAAACTGCAACATACAGTTGTCTATGACTAAATACAAGTTTTCGTAACAAAAATTCAACATGCTTCAGACATTGTCTCTGACAAAATTTCAATAATTTGACTTATCTAAGCAATAGTTCAACATATTAATGTATTTATTTTGGAATTTGTAGTTTTTTAATTTTATTTCCGTGTTTAAATGGTATCATTTACTTACCTTACGATATTTATTTTCTATTTTATTTTAGATCACTTATCATTTTTACATGTGTCCATGCTTGTAAATTATAATATTAATAGTATTAATTTTAGAATACTTACCATTGTTACATGGTTCCATGCTTATAGTATAAATAGTATTAATGTATAAATTTTTTATTTTTGCATTTATATGGTACCATCTACTTACTGTACCGTATTTCTTTTTTAATTTATTTGATAATACTTACCATTTTTACATGTTTTTATGCTTTTAAATTGTAGTATTAATTAATAGTATTAATCATTTATTTTTTTATTTTATTTTTGTATTTAAATGGTATCATTTACTTACCGTACCGTATTTATTTTCTAATGTATTTTAGAGCACTTACCATTTTGATTTCTAATTTATATTAGAAAACTTATCATTTTTACAGGTTCGTGCTTGTAAATTATAATATTTTTTTAAATAACTAATTAATTTGTCCGTAGTTTTTTTGAAATAAATCATTCTAATCCCGCTCATACGTTATTAATTTGTAGTTTTTTAATTTTATTTTCATATTGAAATGGTACTGTATTTTATTTCCATACTATAATTTCTTAGTGGTTCACTACTATTTAATTTATTTAATTTAATTTAAATACTTAAATGGTGTAACATTTAAATAAAAATGAAAATATACTTAAAATGGAAGGAAATATTGAGGCAAAATAATTAAACTACCATTTGTGGTCGAAAGCTATAAAAGGTAATAATGTATTTTTTTTATAATTTTTGTTTATTACCGGCCTTTAAATTTCATAAAAAGTAATACTAATTTTTTTCTTTGTAAAATATAATAATGTACCGTAATTGAAATTAAGAGAAAAAAATTTATTGCCTCTATAAAAGGTAATAATGTTCCATCAAAATTGATATTATGGTCGAAAGCTTTAAAAGTAATAATGTACCATTTTTTCCATAATTTTAGTTTATTACCTGCATTCTCATAAAAGGTAATGAAAATTTATTTTTTTCTATAAAAAGTAATAACATACGGTATTACATCTATAAAAGCAATAATGCATACCAAAGAGTGACAATTAAAAAAGCTAATAATGTACAAAACTTTCCATAATTAAATTATCATATTTTTCCATAATAATGAACATCAATTCCACTTAACGTTTCAAAGATATTTTAATTCTTTCCATTTTCATACATCATTTGGGCGGGAAAACCCAGGGTGAAAATTCCCCTGCTTATAGTATAGATAGATTTCACACATCATTTGGGCGGGAAACCCAGAGTGAAAATTCCTCTGCTTTTAAGTATAGTATAGATATGACAAAGTAAAGAAACATATTATAATTAATAGTAATGGTTTTGGACGGAGAAAATAATTATTGAAAGTATGTTCTTTTTTCCGATATAACCAACTTATTATAATTAAAAATTCGACAAAGTAAATTCGACAATGAACATCTCCAACTCTGTATGTAAGTATGTATGCTAAAACAAATAATACGCCGTAGTATTATAATCTCACTTTCTAAGTTAAATGATTATTATCTCAATTATTAAAAAAACCCATTACTTTCGTTATGTATTTATTACAAAACACAATTTTATTATACATATTTTGTAACATTTTAATTTGAATTTTTAATTTTATTATACATATTTTCAATTTCAAATACTTAAAAAAATTGGTTTTCAAAAAAAAAACTTAAAAATTTATAAATAATTCAATTTATAAATAGTTTTAAGTTTTAAAAGGTTTAAATAACTTTAATTTTTCAAAATATTAAGTTGAAATAAACTTTTTAATGATATAAATAATTTTTATTTAAAAAATGTGTAACAGTGACAAAATATAACTAAAATAATGATTTTTTGTAACAAATAAGATAATGATTATTTTAAGTTAGAAAGAAAAAGATTGGGAAATGAAATAGTTTATTAAAATATGATAAAAATAATGGTTGTTCAATGTAAAATGTACTTTGTACTAATTACTACTATCTCCGTCCCATTTTATAATGCTTCTTTCGGTTTACGATGTTTGACTGAAATTATTTTTAAACCATTTTATATGACAAATGGTATAGAATTTAAAAATAAAAATTACATATTAAAAAACTACATCAAAAGATCTATTAAACAAGTAGTGACAATAATTTTTTATTTTATCAAATTGCTAACGAAAATAGAGAAAGAAAGTAAATGAAGTTTGACCTTGTAAATAGTAAACAGACATTATAATTTGGGACAGAGGGAGTATTAAATTTAAATTTTAATGCGACTACTCATATAGTACATTTTGGATAATGTGAGATCTGAAAGTTCTTATCCGAAAAAGTGAGGAACTGAAATAAATTTTTTAGTGTTTAATTGGTTAAATTAATAGAACTTTTAATCTTAACCACCATACAAAATAGACACAATGAACTTCTCACAGTACATTATTACAAATTTTAAGTATCTGCCAAATATATTTTAAATAATGTGTGAGAGTGAGACTTTTTAAAAAAGTTAAGTTAGAAATAAATTTTTAGATTAAAAAAATCCCTAATGGCGGGATATTTTAGTTTTTTTTTCTTATTTGGGAATTTTCTCCGTCTTCCACGCCTGGACGCGTCTCTGATCTCCCATTCTCTCCGTTTCTTTCTTCTTCCGGTGACTCGCGACTGTTCCAGGTAGCCATCGTCTGCAATCTTGACTTCTTCGAAGACTGACTAGGCATAATAGGCTACATTTTGATTGCCTCCCTTCTTTCGAGCAGCTTCAATCTGACAGGAATAAAGGTTAGATTTTTGGTTTAGAATTCAGATTTTTATGGCCATCCGGCGTCGGATATCCGGTGAATAATTCACGACTTGGTGTTAAAGCTTCAGAATTTTCCTTTGTTGAATTCCCTTTTATGAATTTGCTAAAGTTTCAAAAGATTTTCTAAAGAGTCTAACGGACTTGCTTAAGCTTCAGTTTTCCATTTCTGAATTTATGAAATTTTCATTATTAATTTGTCAAAGCTTTAGCGTATTTCAGCACGATTCTCCTTAGCTGCTGAATCTCTGTTGCATCAAGACTGAGTGATTTATGGGTATCTTTAAAAAATTCAAGTTTACCTCATGGGACACATGTTGAAATTAGAATTTTACCCTTAGATAAATGAGTTTATAACTTGATTTAGGAAATGATCAATGATATAATAATAACATTACAAGGATGTGTAACCCATTTGGTATTAAGCTTTGCATTGTCAATTCTAACCTAATATCACAATCAAAAGTTGTATAAAGAATAGCTTACAGCTTATGGTCTTTCTGCATTAGTATGCTCTTTGTTGTGTTATGTAATGCCTCTTGGTGATTGCTGTTTCTTAAGGCTCATGTGTAAGTAAGTTTCTATTCATTTGGAAAAAACCCAATCAAACGAGAAATCAAATTGTTAAAAGCAAACTACCAACAGTTCAATCTATTAATGTGTGAAACTAATTTTCCAATAATTGTTCCTTATGAAGGACAACATATCAATATTTTATTTTATTTTTTTAAAATTATGCTTTGTTACCAAATACTCCGATTCTTTTTAGAAATTGCTAACTGCTAGCCAAATATGCTAATACAAATTGGCAACTGCTATTTGCTAACTGTTATTTACCAAACACTCCTATACATTTGGAATTACAAAACAGATGTTACACCATTTATGATTTATCTTCAAAATGTATGCATTCTACCCGTCGTCTCAAGTGAGTCAAAGCAACTCTGAGCTATCAATTCTTTGACTAATTGTAATAGCTCCGCACAGTCTTTAGGATTTCATAATGCAACGGTTGGTAAAGATCGCGAGGCTATCATGTCCCTCCAGAACAAACTTTTGCAGTTATGGCTCTTGTTCTTCCCAATTCACGGTGGCAGCAAAAAAGCATCGCAGCATTTCTATTCTGCCAGGGAATTTTGATAAATTGCAGAAAAATGTTCTCCCCGGTAACTTCTTGAAATGGAGCTCGCTTGGTTTCTGTAGAACATCGAGATTCGCCACTGGGTTCAATCCTTTGCAGCCAAAGCCACTTGACTCGATTATGGACGTTGAGAGGGCAAAGACCAAATCTGCTGAGGAACTTGCTGAAATATGGAGTGATGTAAAGTTCCCTCCACACACCCTCCTATAAATTTTGTTTCTTTTCAACCATTGATGTTTTGATCGTGCATTTGTGACCTACAATGTCTGTCTTTTTTGCTGCGTCTGTGAATGATTCACTGCATGTTGATGTAGAAAACATTCACATATTTTAAACAGTATTGTGTTGGAAAAGAATTGATAATGACAACAAGAGGTCCTGAATTCGTTTACTCACTTCAGCAATGGCTGAGCATCCTTTTGGGACTCATGTGGCATCATGTCAAGCTTATAGAATAATTGTATTACTCAAATAATGAGGATACGAGAGAGTATGGCCCCGTTCTTTTGGGTTAGAAAAATTAACTTCCAACTTCTTTTAGGTTCTTCAAACTCCCTCCAGTTTCTTCCAACAACGACTTGAAAAGGTATTTATATATGATTAATATAAAATAACATTATATATCCAAATTTAGAACATATCATATCAAACACAGACAATGATGAAATCTTTTTTTATCCAAAATTACAGTTTTCTTACATATTTATTTGGATGATCATTTAATTAAGTGACTTTTTAACACTTAATTCTTCCAACATTTTCCAACTCCTACCAGTTTTTTCCAACTCCTTGTTTCTTCCAACTCCTTCTAGTTTCTTCCAACATCTAACTCTGAAATTCCAACCCAAAAAAACAGGGCCTATAAATAGGAGGTAGTGGGGTGGGGAGTATGTCTTACGCTTAGCTCGAGCCTCGTCTGATTATGCCTGTTAAGTACTAAGATGTTACTGTATACAATAATCTTTTTGACTATTTGTGCTTTCTTATCCCCTTTGTTATCCGATGACAGTACCACATGGGAAGAGGTCATATTGGAGCTTCAATGAAAGCAAGTTTATACCATCTTTTGGAGCAAAGATCTGGAGATTGGTAATCTATTCTTATCTTCCACCTCAACATAAGCTTTTATCCATTCCTTTCATTTGTAATTCATCAATGTTATATCAATCACAGCCGATATTTTGTGATCCCACTTTGGAGAGGGACTGGCTACTCAACAATGTTCGTACAAGGTCAGAACTACAAAAATTAACTTATTTTATTGAATAGAGTTGCGGAGTTGCCTCCCTCCCAAAATAGAGTTTTAGTAACTAGTAAGATACAACCTTTTATTTTTTTAGTCAACTCAATCAGGGTACAAGCTTTTACCAATTATGAATGGTCAGCTACACCCCTATTTTTTTCAAAGAATGTTTGAAGAAATCAAACAAAAGCATTTGGTGCTTTGCTTTATGGAAATTTTACTTTAAAATGAAGGTTGATATTTAAAACTTGGCTTGCTGGCAAAAAAATATTTTGAAACAAGAATCTTTTGTTTATAGGCAGATGGAATATAATATTTCGAGAACTGTTTTTACTTATATTTGGATTTAAAACCATAATTTTCCAGTTAATTACTCTTGTGAATGGTTTGTACAGTACAGACACCACACATCCTCATAACCGGGCTTGAAGACTACAAGGCAAGAGGAACACAAGCCTCCCCATACTTCACCATTTCTTACTACACAGAATTCGCCGAAAGCAAGGATCTGGTGCTTGTCCGTGGGGATGTTGTCTTTACCAGCAAGCTCAGTGATTCTGAAGCCAAATGGCTCTTGGAGACCACACACTCCTTTTACCTGAACGACACGAGGTACAAACTTGTCGAACGCTTCAACAAAGAAACACGCAAGTTTGTGTTCGAGGATGTTTTGCGTGCGTTGGAAATGCCCATTCTGTAGCTGAAGTGGAAGTATTAGTACATGTTGAAGTCTGAGTTTGGGCTTTGCAAATGTGATCTTGTTGTGCATTTGCATGAGTGTTTCATGGTGAAAATGTCCAAAATGCCCTCACGGTTCCTTCAAGGGTGGATCGGTTCACTGACTTCACTCTAACTGGAAGTTCTTATGTCAAGATGTTTCTGGTATGTAGTCATAAGAATAAATCACGATTTGGTGTTAAAAGCTTCAGAGATTTCCTTTCTTGAATTTGCTAAAGCTTCTCATTTCTGAATTTGCTAAAGCTTGGAAAGAATTTGCTGAAGCATCTGGATTTATGAATTTGCTAAAGTTTTGAAAGGATTTTCTAAGGATTTGAATGTACTAGTTGCTTAGTATCATGCATCTCACTAGTTCTCACGTATTTACATTTCCAACCATATTTACTTCAACATTCTTATTCCCGTCGTCACTCAAGAGTGCTCGTCAATGCCAACACCCGTACAAGTTTATCCAACCGACGTCTGGAAAAAATCTCTCTACAATTTTGTTCAAATTTTCTGATTGCATAAGATTCTTGACCCAAGCTGCATTTCATCCAAGTAAATGTTCTGAGACCCCAACTGATTATTGGGATTAAACAAATGGACTATGTTAGGGGAATTTCACATGTGACATTGTTTTTGACACCAAAGGGGAACAAACACTTATAAGGCTGGAAATACTTGACAGTTATTGTTCATGTTTTTCCTTAGTGTAAAAAATGGTGTGACAAGTGAGATTTTACAAAATGATTTTTGATATTTTTATGTCATATTTCGGAGATAAGAAAAAGAAGGTCCTATTTTTGTCTTCTTGATATGTTTTTTTGTCATATTTTTTTTGTCTTTTTCTCTCATTAAACTTAATATGCATATGGAAATTCACCCACATATGCACTCTTTTGAAATCATTAATATTTTAATATTAATTGAAAATAATTAGAGTATTAGAGCATCGCTAAAGGGGGTGTATAAGAGTAAAAATGTTTATGTGGCAAGCGAGAATAGTTAGAGAGGGTGGGGGAAATGGAGGTGGTATAGTTAGGAGGGGAATAAAATGCTCTTGAAGAGAAATTTTTGATTAGGTGTAAAATAATATATTAAATTTGATTGGTTGAAAATAAAATAAAAATTTTGAAATAAAGATAAAAAGAAGACAAATGAATAGAATGTGGTAATGAAAATAAAAGCAAAAAATTATAAAATTGATGATGTGAAAGAGAATATATGGATGATGAATAGTGATGCTTTTAGTTATTAGTATCCATTTCTCAAATCTCATGTTCACCTGAGTTTAGGGCATCCCGAATGAAGAGAGCTTTGAGATTCTTTCAGATTTTACTATATCAATATTTTATTATTTCAGACCCTTCTTCAAACTTTAAGAAAAATTACTTCAAACCTCAGACTCTCAAATTTTGTGACATCAACATTCCACTATCTTTTATTCTATTGACTTTAAATTTATGTCTAATATATAATTTTATTATACATTGATTTTTTATCAAGCTTATTTTTAAATGCTTGTATAACTAACCATTAAAACTATTTAACATGATAAAACATTATAGTGTATTTATAAAAAAAATAGAGAAAATAACACGGAATATAAAGTTAACACACATAAATTAGATAATACCACAACAAACATTTTTATTTTCTTAACTTTTTAAGCATAAATTGCATAAAATAAAAGCATAAGGTTTTTCCATAACCTTTTCACACAATTTGCATATAAATTTCATAAACTATAAATAAAAGCACAACAAATATAATGTTTTTCGTTTTCTTACATGTTTGGTTTTATAATTCTTGGATAAAGTGGAAGTTGGCGCCAGAGGTTCTGTGCAATAAGAAGATTTCAGAAATGATTAAAGGTAGGTTCTATCGGTTCGTAGACTGACTATGCTTTATGGAGTAGAGTGTTGGACGGTCTAGAAAGCCCACATTCGTCAACTCCATGCGGCTGAGATGCGTATGCTTCAGTGGATTTGGGGGCATACGATATTGGATAGAATTTGGAATGAGGTTATTGAAAGACGAGTGCGAGTGACACCTATGGAGGATGAGCTGCGAGAGACCATGTTGAGATGGTACGGTCACGTGAAGCGGCGTGAACCGGATTCCTTAGTGCGGAGATGTGAGAGACTTTCAATAGTATGTGGGTTTTGGGGAAGTGATAACATAAAAAGAATTGAAATCACATTATTAGGCATGACTTAGGATTTCTACCTCTCACCGAGGATATGACCTTAGATATGAATGCTTGAAGATCTAGAATTATGGTTGTTGGTTGGTCGTTTTGTTTGCAATGGTAGTTTTATTCTCTTTGTTGTGTGTGTTCGTAGGTCTTAGGTAATTCTTTTTACATCTATTTATGTGCCTTTGCTTTTCTTCCTCTTTTGTTTGTTTCTTGATTTTTTGTTGTACTAGTGGTTCTCTATGTTGTTTGAGCTGGAGTTCTTTTGAAACAATATATCTACTCTTTTAGTAAAGGTAGAGTCTGTGTACACATACTTTTCTCATACTTTAGTGTTGCGGGATTCTACTGGTTGTGGTTCTTGTTGTTGGTTTTATAATGTTTTTAATGTGCTTGTTTTTTTAATGTTTTAAAATTTTACGAAATAATTATAACTAGTTTTTATTTTCAAAAAATAAATATTGTTGATTGCACACATCTGATTTTAATTAAGTAGATTGAGTTAGAAATCTTGGAAGTGAGTATGAAAATTCAAAGATTCTTCCAGATTTTTTCCATTTTCTCTTCAGCTCAATGATAAAGTCTAATTTTTTTGGATAAAACTATTTGTACCTCAAGATTTGTACTCATTTGTACACCGCATGTGTGCATTAATATTTTGTGTTGGTGTAATGTTAATTTTTGTTAATGCACAAATACTTTGTGTCACTTTATGTTTTTGTTAACACATTAATACTTTGTATTAGTGTGAATGATCAAAATGTTGATATATATTTTCTATGTAAGTTTATGGTATAAATTTTGGTAAGTCTAGCAGGGTCCTTTTTTTTTAAACTCCACCTCAAGCTCTTTCAACACAAGTATTGACAGCCAAAAGCCCAAAATTAGGCAATCGCGCCGCCCTCCCAAACTTCTAATCTTCGTCCGTCACCCACCGCAGAACCGGCAGTCAATAGTCTGCTCGAGCGAGCAAAAATGGCAGATGCGTCGTCGGACGAGGCCAACGACATCGAGAAGCTCTATGAGTATGGCGAACGCCTCAACGAGGCCAAAGACAAGTCCCAGGTCCGTACTTTCTCGCACTCCCCTCCGCGTTGCGTTTTCCATCCGTCCTCCTAGGGTTTCATCCCCGCTTGTGGGTCTGTGCCTCCACTCTGCTAATTCCGTTCCTGTTTCTTGCAATAGCATGTCGGTGACTACGAGAGCATACTCACGACGGCTAAAAGCAGCAGCGTCAAGGCGAGGCAATTGGCTGCGCAGCTCATCCCTCGATTCTTCAAGTTCTTCCCCAGTTTGTCTATAGCCGCTGTGGATGCCCATCTCGATTTGTGTGAAGCCGAAGAGCTTGGGGTCAGTTTATCCGCTCCTCTTTCTGTTTTTCTGGGAATTTCATTCTATTTTTACCTAGGAGCTGGATTTTTGCTTTCGAGTAGGCCATTTTGGGGAAAAATATTGCTTACAGTGCATTATCTATTGGAGTCTAAGTGAAGATTTGAAGGCAGTGATTCATCTTCTTCATTCTTAAAAAAGCAATACAATGATTGCTGCCCTTGATGGGGTGGTCTAGTATAAACACCCTTTACTCCTAACTGATGGAGTCATTTTCACAACACGTCAAACCCTAAACCCAAATTTCATTGGGAACAAAGGTTGTTGCTTCCACCACACTTATATGCTGTGATAGCTTGTTATACTTAATTCTATTATGTTAAGAGGACCTGTATGAAACAAATTGTATAACTTCATTGTCTTTTAATGTTTTATTAAAAACAAGTTCTGGGCTGCATCCGTTGGCGTTCTTATATTTACTTTCAGTATATTCATCATTCATACAGTACATGCTCATGTTTGTCATTTTCCTTCATTATTTTTGGTGGTTGGGTTTAGCAAGGGCATACTATATTGGATGTTTTCTTTCAGATTTTTGTTTGAATCGTTTTGCCTATGTATCACTTCTAGATCCGAGTGCAAGCCATTCGTGGACTTCCGCTTTTCTGCAAGGATACACCAGAAAATCTCTCCAAAATAGTTGACATACTTGCTCAGCTTCTTACAGCTGGTAATTAAATTCCATAATTTCAGTTCCATTTTGAGATTATTTTGGGAAGTTTTTGAATTTTCATGTCCTAATATTTTATGGTTCTTGCAGAAGAAAATGTGGAACGTGATGCAGTGCATAAAGCTCTTTTATCCTTGTTGAGGCAGGATGTGAAAGGTAATTTACTCATCTCAAAGAGGTCAAAATACGTCATTGTCTTCTTATAAGGTTCAAAATTATTTATTTCTTACTTGGAGAACCAAACACACCTTAATTTTTTGAACTCAATATAAGTTTGTGGTTATTTTTCATTTTGTAATACAAGAACATGGAGATTTGATACAGAATGTTTGTCATTTATAATTTTATCATACGAAAACTTGGAATTTGATACAGAGTGTAAGAAAAGCTGGTGTATTTTAATCAATTGCCTCACCACTTAAAGAAATGTAGCAACCAGTTCGATGCATCATCGGTTTGGCTTAAGAATTGACCGCTTTGATGATAATGTTTCTATCGGCAAGTATCTATATAATGTCAGGAATATTATGATTCTTTTTTATTTAAATGACACATACCATGCTTTTAACCTTGAATGAATAAAAACTCATACTGTATCTTTGACTTAAGAAATGATTATTCAAGCAAACAAAACGGCACAACATCTCATGTCTACGTGATTTTTTGTTAACAAATCAAAATTATTTTATGCTTATTATATTGGAAAACCCGGCTAGAGCTACGGGGCACAATCTTCATTTGTAACGTGAAGCAAAGAGTTGTTTTTGCAGGAAAACCTAAATAAGGGTTTCTGTGTAATTTCGCCTCTTATGACATGTGTTTTTTCATCATATGCCATGTGTTTCTTTCATCTCCTGGCCTCCTCCCCGTGGTGTCCCAAAATACAAAAGGATGGACAAGAAAACCTAAAGAAGGGTTTCTGTGATTCTTATAGATCATAAGTTCATAATCCACCCTCACACAATTTGGTATCCGTTTGTCTCTCTTAATTAAACTTATGCATGTTCAACTTCTACATGGAGTACCCATTGCCTGTCACGAGTATCTTTTTGTGATGTTATATCTGATTTTATTTTTATCAAATTTGGGCAGCTTCATTGACAGCTCTCTTTAAGCACATAGAGAGCATTGACGAGCAGATGACTGATGAAAATCTTCGTGAGAGAACTTTAATATTTATTAGAGACAAGGTGATAATTTAACTGAATGTCTTATTTGATTTAGGTCCATGTGTGTATCTCCAGCATGCATGTAAGTGGTTCTGCATGACATTGTATGCAGGTTTTTCCGATTAAAAATGAGCTCTTGAAGCCGTTAGAACAAATGGAAAGACATATAACTGATTTGATAAAAAAGGTACTCCAATTCTTCTACTGTTATCTTCTACATGTAGAGTTGAGTTCTGCTTTACATTACAGCAAGCACATTTTTTTTTTTGCATAGAAAAAATATTATCTATTACTCCGTATATGATAGAGCTTATGTTGTACCAAGTGAAGGTTTTTAGAAGTAGATTATGTTAACAATAACTCCTATTTATTAGGTGACCTGCTTGTATTAGAGTGAAAAAATGTAACTTGAATTCTCTTACAGAGTTTGCAAGACGTGACAGGAGCTGAATTTAAGATGTTTATGGATTTTCTGAAAAGTTTGAACATTTTTGGAGAGAAAGCGCCCAAGGAGCGTGTGCAAGAACTTATAGAGATAATTGAAGGTCAAGCTGATCTCGATGCACAGTTCAATGTAAGCACTTATTTTGCTATGTACCTTATGGGAACACGCTCTCTTAAAAAATGTAAGAGTCGTCTCATAAGTAATGAGGTGGGGAACTTTTATCAAAGAGGGAAATAATGTTGCTGAGAGTTGGTATTTCTTTCATTTCTGCAGTGTATGCTATGCCTCTCAATTTATTTCTAGCTTTGTTCTAACTATTAGAATTTCATACTACACTGCTTTCCTAGCATATATTCTTCATTTAGAATTTCAAAAATGCTATTTTATAATGAAATAGCTTGTGAACTTTGATTTTTGTGGGGACTTATCATGTAAAGTTATTGCCCTATATGTGAATTTTAGTCACTTAAGCCAACACAAGCTCTTGTAGATCTGCTGCTTTGCTGAATATTGTACAATGATTCTTTTAGATGTTACATTCTTGCAATGGATGACCCAGCTTATATTTGATTGTATCTTCCCTAAAAAAGAAATAGCCTGTGCCTGAATTTTTTTCCAAATAGGCTTTTAAAAATAAGATGAGAGAAAACAGCCTGGTCTTCTATGGGGGGGGGGTCTGCCATCCTTTTTTTTTACAAGAGTATCAACTGAATGACATGCAATATCTAACTAGCTTTAGATGTGCAGGTTGAGGATGGGGATCACATTGATCGGTTAATATCATGCTTGTACATGGCCATTCCATTTTTTGAGGTGTGTGCTTATGCAGTTATGCTTAGTCCCTTTTCAACTAGTTTATTCCAGTGCAAAAATTTAACTATGTTGAACTTATTGGCTTATGCAGAGGGGTGCATCAAATAGCAAATTCCTCAACTATCTGAACAAGCATATTTTCCCTGTTTTTGACAAGGTAAATTCTCAGCTAACTATTTGATTCACTATTCATCATAGTAAAAAGTGTCCTCTTTTTACATGGGTGACATTCTTATGTTATGTGAAGTTGTTTATTCACGATCTGAAGTTACATATGTTCTAACATGTTCAAGCTTTGTTTCCTAATTTTCTTCTAACCTTTAACTTCTGACAGCTTCCCGAGGATCGGAAATTGGATCTGCTCAAAAACATTGCAGAGAGTTCACCATACACAGCACCTCAGGATTCAAGACTTGTCCTTCCCTCTGTAGTCCAGCTCTTAAAGGTGATTACATAGAGCCAGACAAACACTGTCATATGCACTACTTTTCTAGCAATAGAAGCCTATCTTTCTTCTCATAGGAGGGCATAGATGAGTTCTCCTCCACAATAGGAATGTGTGAGACGGTGAAGAGGAATGGAAAGGGGATACATCGATTCCCATCTCTTTTTTGGGTGGGTGGGGGGGGGGACATGATTTCCATTAGTAGGAAAACCATTATTCACCTTTCATGCATGATTCCCAACCACTTCTTTAATTTCTTTTATTACCTTCTCCTAAACCATCCAAACAAGCACACTGTCATGTTTTTTTAAAGGGTTTCATGGTTTTGTTTCCCAGACCCCACCCCATCCCTCCCGACTATTTTCATAGTCAGCATGATATGAGTATTTTTCTGTGCTGTGTGAGCCGGGGGTCTCTTGGAAACAGCCTCTCTACTTTCGAGTAGGGGCAAGGTCTGTCTACACACACCCTCCCCAAACCATACTCTTGTGGGATCCGACTGGGTTGTTGTTGATATGAGTAATTTGGAATGCATCACTGCAGAAATATATGCCTCGAAGAAAATCCGGGGAAGAGATGAACTTCACATATGTTGAATGCTTGCTTTACACTTTTACCAATCTAGCTCGCAAGGTATTTATAAGTTTAATTGACATTTGTCACTTTAAATATATACTCTCTGAAGCATTGAATGCTAACTTTGTCTCTGATTGGATAGGCTCCAAATGCCACTAATAGCTTGTGTGGTTACAAGATAGTCACTGGACAACCATCAGACAGGCTTGGGGAAGACTTCTCTGACTGCTACAAAGACTTCACAGAGCGGTACCTGTTTTCTGCTCTTTTTTTCATTTCCTTTTCTTTTCCTCCACCTTTTCTCTTTTTGGCTTTTCCCCATTTTGGGATGATAAGTTAATAGTTACTACCTATGTTTTATTATACTGCAAACTTTCATTTATGAATTTGCACAGTTTTGATAAATGCGAGAAATCATATGAAGGAGCATTAGTGAATGATGACTACGACGCCTAAGAGTAATTAGGGTCTGTTTGGTACAAGGAATTGATGGAATTGGAATTGAATTGGAATTAAAATTCCACAGGATTCAATTCCATAGATTCAATTGAATTCACCAATTCCAATTCATTTTTTACACTACCAATTCCAAATCCACATAATTTTTGGGCTACCAAACACCAGAATTGGAATTGAAGTCCTCAATTCCAATTCCATAGTTTGAATTCCGTGTACCAAACGAGGCCTTAAGAAATTTCAAAATCACATATAAAAGATGTACTCCCTCCGTCCAAAAATTTCTTTTCCGGTTTGACTTGGCACAGAAATTAAGAAAAGTTAAAAAGTGTAAAGACTTTCCATGTATTGCCCTTGATGTGATGGAATAAAGTGAATAGTGTAGATAAAAAGTAGGTGTATAATGGCACATTCATTAAAAGTTCTTTGCCAAAATAGGAAACAGGGAAAAAAATTTGGACAACCCAAAAAGGAAAGTGAGAAAGAAATTATTGGACGGAGGGAGTATCACATTTGGCAAAGTTCAGCGTTTTACAAGACATGGCCGTAGTAGCTTGGGCAGCCTGGGTATTATGAAAACACGATCTTTTTTAGGATGAACAGATTTAATAATGTCAAAGACATGTTGTCATGTTGATCATTAGTTAGGGATAAACACTTGATGTTAATAGTCTGGGATATAATGCTAGTTTTTGCATGAAGTGCAAGTCATTTGATGCCTGTTTTACTATGTCTTTGATAGAAATAAATTTGCATGCAATACTAGAAGCAGAATGAAAATCATTGGCAACAATAATCATCTCTATAAAGCATCTCATATGTGAGAAGTGCACAATTTTGCATCGATAAATCCCGTGGAAAAAACCTCACTTTTATTTTGGAGGGAGATAATAAGGAAGGTTCATGTTTCAGATATTGTATAACCTTCTACCATAATGTCCATCTGCTTGGTGACCCAATATTTCTCTCCCCATGAACGAAATTAGGTTAAAGTGTGTAGAAGAACTAGCAAGGGCAACCATAAAGAAATTGACTCAGGGACTAGCTGAACACAACAAAGAAATAGCTGCAGCAAAAACAGATGAAGAAAAAGCTAAGATTGTGAGTTTGCTTCTAGAGCTTTGTATTTTTTCATGATCTGCTCAGTGGTGTATTTTGGGGAGTTAAATATTGTTTTTATTGCAGAAAAATCAAAAGCAGAATGCTACAGCGGGAATGAGAACGTGCAATAACATATTTGTTATGACACAGGTGACTTTAATGCATCACAACTACTACAGCAATACCAACCCAGTTTATTCCAACAAGAGTGTGGGGTCTTGGGGGGGGGGGGCGTGTACAAAGAGCTCACCCCTACATAGAAGAGTTGCTGTTTCCAAGAGACCCCAGCTCAAGTAACATGTGCAACAAACTGATGGGGGATGGAATGGGGATATACAATTTTTTTCTAATTATATCGCGATGAGGATATATGTGTATGTGCTTCTAACATCGTTTTTTAAATTTCTTATGACTCAGCCTCTACATTCGAAGTCACCTACATTTATCGTAGACAAAAAGATCAACCTCTCCTGGAAGGAAATCCCGAAATCTGCGGCACCATCAACTGCTAATGCAGCTGGGTATGTCAAGTGTTCTTTTCATGTTCTCTCTTAAGATGGCTTAAAAATGTGAAATTCACTATCTATTTTTCCTACCTCTTATTGTTTAATTGTTTCTACTAAAAAACACAATTCTATGAGAATCAAATTGTTGCACTTTCCTTATTCCTGCACAGATATAAAGGGAAGTGCATCATTTAGCTCATTATATTTTGGAGACTAAATTTTTAATAGTCACCCGTTCATGTGAGTTTAGCCATTCTAGTCCCTCCTAGACTGAAGAATGTAAAAAAAGAAAGCATAGCAATTCTAGAAATGACTTTTTACTTTTTTTTGGATTTGGCTGTCCTCACAAAAAAAATGCAGTCCTTGTTTATGTGTGCATCCCTATTTTTTAGACATCCAATTGATTTGGTTTGCAGAGCAAAGCGATCAATCGGTGCTGTAAATAATTCTGGCAATATGGGTCTAAAAAAGGGCCGTGGAGCAGGCAATCCCAACCAGCTGGTGAATAGGGCTTTTGACGGTCTGGGATATGGCGGTGGTCATGGTGGTGGTGGAAGGGGAAGAGGCCGGGGATGGGGTCTACGCGGTAGGGGAAGGGGATATCACTAATAGTTTCTCCTCTCAGATGGATCACTAAGCATTGAATCTCTGCACTCAGAAAGTTGACTGGAGGACCCGAACAATGCCCGTAGAAGCAAAGAAAGATGAAGTCGCATCGCCATATTTTCCCACCCACACTAAATGCTTGAGTAGTTGAATACCCAGATTATGTCTGTTTGGGAAGTTTTTTTTATATAAAAAAATATTTATTTACCAGAAAGATTAGCTGGAGGCATTCCTATCAGATGATATTGTAACTCTTCATCATATCAGTAGTGACTTTGCATCCCCACTCTTTTGTTGTGCGCTTAGAGGCTAACATGAAACTGATTATCTTGGCCTAAATTTGATTAATCTCAGCTCCCTGCTTCTTTGGAACTACTTAATCTGTTGTTGGGTTATGCTTGTGGTTTATATATATTCATATATGATCTCTGTCTAAATGGTGTCCAGTTTGTGTGTGTGTGTGTGTGTGTATGTATATGTATATATATACACACACACACATCAACAATTTAAGGGGGGCGGGGGGAGGGGTAGGGAATATTAGTTTTGGGAACGGAGCGTTGTATTTGCTCCAAATGCGCAATGACACCGTAGTGTTAATCGGAGTCTATGTAAATATAGAATAAGTCAGCGGGCTCCTTTGAAATATATCAAAGAATACAAATTGAACATTATAGAGTATTTAGTTTTTATTTAAAAAATATTCTATTCGCTCGACCGATCTGAACCTTTAATTATAATTGCAATCAAATTTTCAAAAAAAATTGATCAAATCAGGTGAATAGGTGAATGGAACACAGCCTAAGTCGTTAATAGAGTTCGAGCGATCCGAACCGTTAATCATTGAGCCACTTCACCCATCTATGTTTGGTCAGGTAATCCCTAATTTTGCCAAATTCCAATTCCATTATCCGAAGAGTTCCCAAACGGCCCGAATGGCTAAAGCTTGACAAGCCTTCTCTCTGCATCACTGCCTCCCCTATTCAACATTCAAATTACACAGAAAAATGGCTCAATTCTGGAAGCCGGGAACGGAGCGGCCCCGCCTCGTCGACGACGAAGACGGCGGTGTCCTCCTCTACTCATCCTCACCCTCGTTCTCCTCCGGGTACTTCTATCTTCATTCTTTCCCCTATAACATATATAGAGATGCATTGGATGCTTGAGCATTTTGTCTCACTTGATTTCTGTTTTTTATCGTGAATTTCTACTTGAACAGTTTCGGACATGGGAATATAGAGAAGCAGAGGCAAAGGCTCCCGGTGCACAAGTACAGAACCGCCATTCTCTATCTGGTGGAGACGCATTCCACCACTATCATTGTGGGGGAGACTGGCAGCGGAAAAACAACCCAGATTCCTCAGGTATTTTTGAGTAATTACGAAATGCTCTGTTAGGGGTACATTTTGAAGGATTCAATCAATTTTTTTGCCCATTGTGCTGTTTGTTGGAGTGTTTTGGATTAACTTGGATATGATTTTTTTATCCAAAATTTTTATGAATGAGTGAATTTTGGATTTTTCAAATAATTGTTGTTTGTTGCTATTTTGGCTGCAGTATCTTAAAGAAGCTGGGTGGGCAGAGGGAGGACGCCTGATTGCCTGTACTCAACCGAGGAGATTGGCCGTGCAGGTATTGTTTTCTTTGTACTTTAGCTGTATCCAGTTTTTTTCCATCATCTCCAATGGAGCCAAAGATTTGCTTTATTTTGGGCTTTGGGGTATGATGGAATAAAGAAAAATGGCTCTTTAAAGTGTCTGCGTTTCTTTGAACAGTAGTCAATGCAACTTTTGACGCTTCTCATGGTTCAGCTCGAAACAGCCACTCTATGTTTTAAACATATGGGTCAGATTGCGTACATCCGCCCCCTTACCCCGCAATGGACGGGAGCCTTTGAGGCATTGGGGTAATGTTGTTGTTGTTTAGATGTATCTAGTTTGTGTACTTGGTTCCTCATTCAACATCGTATATTGACTGTTTTGGAATTAGGAAATTGACAGTTGTCCTCATTGAAAATTATGAGCATGCTGATTTCTATCAGGCTTTACTTTTAACTAAAATTTAGGTCTGCCTATTTAAAGGGCCAATTAACCACATCTTCTTGAAACCCAGTAACGGTTCTTTTTAAGCGCGATAATGTCTAGCCAATTACCGTGTCAAGTGTAATGTTCAATTAGCTGCCCATTGGCCATTATCAAAGTTTCCAACATCTTGCATCAATTATAATAAATTTTTATTTCACCCTTTATTATATTGATGAAAGTCATGAAGCTTGTAATGCCTACTAGACAACTCTTAATTGTCTTTCTGCAGGCAGTTGCTTCTAGGGTTGCTGAAGAGATTGGAGTAAAACTTGGTGAAGAAGTAGGATATACAATCCGATTTGAAGATGTTACAAACGCGGTGAGAGTCATCTTTTGAATTATAAGATTATGTGTTCCTTTTGAGCCAAGAGTCTCTCAGAACCCGCTTCTTTGTCCTTCTGGGTAGAGGTAAGGGTGTACATATTACCCTCCAAAGACCCCCACTTGTGGGAGTACAAGGGTTTTGTTGTTATTATTGTTGAGTTCCTTATTTTGTTTGAAAGTATGTCATCTGTTCATCACATAAACAACAACAATAACAACCCAATTGGGTCCCACATCTGTTCATCACATAAAGACTTGTAATTTCTTTTAATGTACTAATTAAACAATAAACCTATCTATTATATCCCACTCAAAAACAGAACACGGGGGATTGTGGGGGAAGATGTTTGCAGACCATACCTCTACCCCAAGGAGCAGATAGGTTCTTTTTGCTCCGTCAAATCGTGACACATAGTGTGGGGCTTGAGAAAATGAATAACAAGCCCAAACAATAAAGTGCTAGACTGCTAGTCAGCTAGATGAGTCCAACCCCCAGTACCACTTGTACACAACCCTACAAGACTCTACAATTACATCCCTAATTCAGTGTCTACAAGAAATCTTATCAGAGGTTATATCCTTGTAAATGTTTAACGACAGCATGTCCAAAATCAACAATTCATCGCATGTTTTTCATCCCCTCAACCGAAATGCTATCCACTCGCCTTACAGGTTCAGTTGCTTGTCTATGGTGAACATGACCAAACAATTGCAGTCTGCCTTCTCTTTTGATGCATATGCTAGACAATGTTACTTATTTCTCATAGCATGATTGCATCAATTCATCATATGATGACCTACTGGAGAGAAAATTATTAAAGCACATATTCTTGTGTTACTAAGTTTGACTTGCACTAGTGATGGGAACTTCCTATTATGGGCTACAGGACTTGACAAGAATCAAGTTCCTAACTGATGGAGTATTGCTAAGGGAAATGATGGATGATCCTCTACTGAGCAAGTATAGGTACATTGTTTGTGTATTTTAAGTCCTTTTCTTTATCCTCTTTTTTATAAAAATAAAAATGATCTGTTCAGTGCATAGTACTTTTATGAATAATTCACCCTTCATTTCATGCCCAACTATTTTCAGCTCATTGATATTGCTGTTACTTTTTGTTTTGACCAGTGTGATAATGGTAGATGAAGCACATGAAAGGTCTATTTCTACCGATATCTTATTGGGACTTCTGAAAAAGGTCTGTTTACTATATAATATGGAATGATCGGGCCCACTTACTAACTGCATACTTTGTTTTTGTCACTAAAAGTCAACTACTATATAAATGTGATTGATCTGATAACTATGAGAATTCAGATCCAACGACGCCGGCCTGAGCTGCGTCTTATCATTGCTTCGGCTACAATAGAAGCAAGATCAATGGCGGATTATTTCAAAACCAGGTTTCTATTTTAGTATTCTGCCAACGTTGTTATATCTGATTTTGCCTTGAATTTAACAAAAGCCATCAGAGGCCATGTGATTTTAAATCATATCTGGAATAGAATGTAATATTTGATTGCTATAATTGGAACACCCATAAGTTGATGGATTACCTCATTACCTAACTCTGCTGGTCACCAGCAGTGCAATTAATAAAAAGGTGTTGCTTTTTCTGTAATCTCTCTCAGGATTCTGGTATGTGTTTGTTTAAACAAACAATGAAAAAGATGTCAATTCCTGGACTTGGGAAATGCAATCCCAAGGTTATTATGTTCCCGGATCACATTATATATATTAACCGGTTTTTAAGTTGCTTGGTTAGATTAAGCAGCTAACGGTTGTTATGTGCCCTTTGTCTGTAAAGTAGTGAAGAGAAAAAGATGGAAGGAGTGAAATCTGGTTGTTTGGTCAAGAAATATGGGGAAAAAGTAACACATAGAGCCACCACATTTTGTTTCTTTCCCCGTTGTGAAGAAAGAGGATTCTTTCTTTCTATTTATACGCTCTTTGTGTGTGTAGTATTTAATGTAAGGGTTGTTTGTTTTTTTTTTATTTTAGAAATAACATGGAGTATATTTTTTTTATTTTTCACTTGCTCTTGAATTTCTATCATACCAAACAAGACACAAAATACAAATTTTTTATTCTCTTTTCTTCTCTCTATAAAGGGGGTGGTCGGGGGTGGCTTGCAATAGAGAAGCTCATCATTGGAGGCAATTTTAATGGTCACATTGGGTATGGCTAAGCATGGTACGGTATTTAGCTCGTACCGATACAGTACGAAATATTTCGGTTCGGTATGAGATTTTATTTTGTATCGATCGCGATGGTTCATTATTGATTTCGGTATAAATTAGGACGAATATATACATACCTAATTTATACTTTAAAATGTAATAAAATCCTTTATTTTTTAAAAATTGATTTTTTTGAATAGAGAAACATAAAAAACTAAAAAATTAATCATTAAATTTAAGAAATGCTTATATTTCACAAACTAAAGAAAACAAATGATAAAAAAATAGTATTTCAAATCCTTGTTAATATTTTTAATTTTATCTACAAAAAATCAAAAGTCATAGAAGTACAATGCACATATATTAAAATTTGAACCAATATTTCAAAACAAATTTATCACTTAATGAAGAAATATGAAAAGATTTTTATATTTATAATATATTAGTGTGTATATGTTCGGTTTGGGATTTTCCGTATATGGGAAGTTGCCTCGTACTGTTCCCAAATACCAAAGTGACCGTTCGGTTTGGTACGGTTCAGTTTTTTGCGGTATTTTTTCAGTTCGGTTTCCTCAGTTTTTTGGGATTTTTTGGGATCAGTTTTGTACTTGCTCGCCCCTAACATCGGGAGTGTTGTGGAGGGCGATGAGGTGGTGCATGGATGGTTCAATTTTGGTGGAAGGAATGTGCATGTGGGGGCCGAGGGGGGGTCGCTCCTTGTGTTTGCTAAAGGGAGTGATTCGGTGATTTTGATGACCTTTTGCAATTGAGTGGCGAAGTCTCACATTGATTACTTCCTCATGCGTAGGTGTGACAGGCTATGCAAGGATGCGGATGTAATTTTGAGCGACGACCTTACAACCTAACACAAGTTACATGTGATGGATGTACCGATTAGGTGGGAGAGGAAGAGGCGAGTTGCGAGTGGACCACCTCATATTCGTGAGAGGAGCTTGGGTAAAGGGAAGATACCAAAGTTGGTTGCTCGGGTACAAGAGAGATGCTTGGGAGACTAGTCGAAAGGTTGACATCATGTGGACTAAGATTGCTAACTCCATTGAGAAGCTGCTCGAGAGGTGTTCGGCATAGCTAGTGGTAATGCAAAGCAATATAAAGATAATGGTGGTTGAATAGTGAAGTACAAATAAAATTTGAGAAGAGGCTAATGGATTGCAGAGATGAGGAGGTTAGGGAGTCGTTACAAGAGGAGTATAAGTTTGCTCGTAAAAAAGCTAAGTTGGTGGTTTTGGCAGCTATGAATGCAGTTTTTAAGCGTCTATATAAGGACCTGGAAGATAGAGGAGATTGGTTTGACTTGTGATGGTGTGAGAGGAAAAGACATGAGATCTAGAACATGTGAGGTGTGTTAAAGGCGGAGATGATGTGGTTTTGTTTGATGCAGTGGAGGTTAGGAATTAGTGGTAGTCATATTTTCATAGCCTTCTAAAAGTTAGATGGAACATAAGTCTATTACTAGGTGAGCTAGAGCTATTTGAGAGTCATCAAGTTTTTTGATACTATTAGCGCATAAGCAAGATGAGAGGAGGAAGCGCCTGGGAATAGATGAGACCCTAGTGGAGTTCTGCAAGATTGTGGGCAGAGATGGGTTGATGTGGATAATCAAGTTATTTAATGTTATTTTTAAGATAGTTAGCATGCGAGTGGAGGGAGAGTGTGGTGATTAGGCAAAGGTGATATCCACAATTATGATAATTATAGAGGCATTAAAGCCATTAATCTACCTATTCACAACAAGAAGGTATGGGAATGGATTATTAAGACCCAATTTAGAAAGGAGGTGATCATTTTTGAGAATTCGTTTGGTTTCATGCATAGTCGGTCAACCACCAAGACCATTCACCTTTTGAGGAGACTGATGGAGCAAGCTAGGGACATGAAGAGGACCTACATATGGTGTTCATTAACTTGTATAACACGTAAAAAAGAGTTTCTTGGGGGTATCTTATGGTGCTTACATTCACGCTGTTAAGGACAAGCATGATGGTCTTTGATGGAGCAAGGACCATTGTGAGGTCGTTAATAGGTGTGACTCCGAGCACTTCTCGGTGAAGATGAGGTTACATCAAGGGTCTGCCCTTAGTCTTTTCTTGTTTTCTTTAGTGATGGATGATTTAACACGACATATTTAGGAGGAGTTACCTATGTGCATGTTGTTTATCGATGACATCATTATGATTGACGAGACATGTGAAAGACTCGATGGTAGGTTGGAACTATGGAGACTAACCTTAGAATCCAAAGGTTTTAAATTGAGCAAGACTAAGATCAAGTACATGAAATGTTGCTTCTGTGGTAGGTCGAGTGGGTCGGAAGTGGAAAAGAGGATTGATTCGCAATTTCGCATCCTATGGTTAAAAGGGACACATTTTGGTACCTTGGATCTATCATTCAGGTCTATGAGGAGATAGATGGAGATGTTGTTCATTGTGTTGGGGCCGCTTATACATAGTGAAAACTTGTTTTAGGTTTACTTTGTGACAAGAAGGTTTTAGCAAACCTAAACAGGAGTTTTATCAGGTAGTGGTCAGACCGGCAATGTTGTATGTAGAAGAGTGTTGGGCAACCCTCACACTCGGAAGCTTTGATGGACAAAGATGAGGATGCTAAGGTGGATGTGTGGTTATATAAGGATGGATAAGATACATAACAAGGATATCCGTGGGAGGGTGAGAGTGGTCTATCTACAGGATAAGCTATGAGAATCTAAAATGAGATGGTTTGGCACGTATTGATGAGAAGTACATTTGCTTTAGTGAGAAGATGCGTGAGACTTGAGGATTTAACCTTAGAAAGGAGCATTTTGAGGTTTAGGATTAGGGTGGTGGGGTAGATTTTTGAAGTTAAGCTTGTAATTCTTGCATGTATGCTTCCGTGCCTAGTTTGTGATTTTTGCATGTGTGCTTAGTTTTGTATGGGTTCTTACTTTGTTCACGTGACTTTGCTTTGCCATAATGCTTCTATGTTTTGAGCCCAGAGGCTCTTGGAAACATCTCTACTCTCCATGTATGGCTAAACTTTGCGTACACACACCTTTTCATCTCCTACTTTGTGGGAGTGGAGTCTACTGGGATTGCTGTTTTTTACTCTTCTTATCTCTTTCTCATCCCACCCAAACAAATATCTTTCAAAATCTCTTTTTGCCTTTCTTCATCACATATTTATTACTAGACCTGGCAAAACTGACCCGGACCCGATAAACCGAACCGAATAACCTAGAACCAAACCCGATTTTACCCAAAAACTGAAGAACCGAAATAGACCCAAACACCCGAAATGACCCAAACGGAACCCAAACCGAATGTATTCAGACCCGATTTAGATCCAAATCCGATTAAACCCAAACCGATAAAACCCGAACCCGATTAAACCCGGAACCGATTAGACACGAAATTGATTAAATTTTATGTACGTTCGTGTTAAATAATAAAATAACTACGGAGTATATCATAAATTGATTATATTTATTATGTGATATTATTGATTTATTAGTAAATATTTGATATATATCTGAACTGATATAAACCTAAATCGATACAAACCCAAATTGATATAAACTCGAACCGATACAAACCCGAACCAATACAAACCCGAACCGATATAAACCCGATCCGATACAAACCCGAACCGATACGAAACCGAACCGAAACCGAAAACCAGTCAAACTGAAATTAAACCGGAACCGAACTGACCCGAACTGATTATAACATATATCCGAATGAGACTCGAACCGAAAAGACCCGAACCGGAACCGAACCGATTGACCTGATTGCCAGGTCTATTTATTACTCCCTCCGTCCAATTATATTTGGGACATGAGAGGGTGGCACACAACTTTGGAAAAAATGAAATTGTGTGTGGTTGGTATTGAATTTTGAAGTATGAATTTCTTTGAACCACATAAATCATACCAAATATGGCATGTGACAAACATTTTGGGGTAGCCCAAAAAAAGGGACATGAATAGTGGGACATAGGGAGTATCAGTATGTTCAAACTATACCTTCAAACCTCACTTATTTACTTTAATAATTTGTACAATAAAATAGTTTTCTTGTGTTATATATAAATTATATTTTTAACTTTTACTCCCTTTGTCCCATAAAATTCTTTACACTTTTCATTTTGGATTTCCCAAAAAATACTTTAGACTTTATTCGCTATTTTGGTAATGAATATGTGGCTACCAACAATTCCCTCCTCTAAACAAATTCTGACCACACACTTTTGAGTTTTCAACAATGTTCTTAAACTCTGTGAAGTTAAAGTATCAAGAATTTAATGGGACAGAGGGAGTACATCATTGTTTAAATAAATGATTTGAAATGAACTTCAACAAAACATTGTAAGCTGAAATGGACAAAAACAGGGTGGACGGGATGGTTAATTTATACAAATGTACACATTTAGATGGAATTTTGTTTTGTTGGGCGAAGTATACTTTTATAAGTGGTTTCATGTGGATTAGAGTTTAATACATCTTGTCTAGTCTAATACCATATCGAAGTATGTATTATATCATATTTAAAAGCTTTAGATATTAGTGTGGGTTGAGGATTACATGTTTAATTTGTACTCCTATTTCAACAAAAAGATTCCAAATTTCTTTTTGGTTGTCCGAAAAAAAGATTCCACTTTCGTTTAAAAAAAAGAATTGCGTGGTTCACATTATTTTTTTATCCCGGGCTTAAATCCCAACATCACAATTTCACACTTGTTAATAACCGTGTGCAATCAAATGTGGAACCTTAATTCGGAAAAAAATGGAGTATTATTTTGATGATATTTATATTTAACATCAACGGATTGATAAATAATACTACGTAGTATTTGTTGACCAAATGGCAGTTCTAGTGACGTGGTTGGCTATAATTATTGTGTTCAATGTATCACTTCTTAACATCTGTACTTTTAAAAAATAAATAGAAGGCGTTGCTTATCAGAGCAGGAGGAGAATGTACCTAGTAGAAAACCCGCCATTCTCTCAGTAGAGGTACATGCTTTACACCATTTCTTTAAGGTTCAGTTGGCCTATGTAAAGCTATATGAATTTGTTTTCCGAAATTATGAGTGTTATTTAAACAATTTGTTTTATCGTTCAGGGAAGGGGATATAGTGTGGAGGTATTTTATGCTGACAATCCCGTTCCTGATTATGTCCAAGCTGTTGTCTCGACGGTGTTGTCAATCCATGATCATGTAAGCATGGACATGCATAATTGGATTTGTAAACATCTGAATGCCTCATGTTTGTTGGGTTACTATGGTGTGTGTGTGTGTGTGTGTGTGTTTCGTGAGGACACCTTTTACTTTTCCTGCGTGTTTGGCTTTTTCCTATTGTTTCGTTTTCATTTCATTATTTTAATACTCTAGGAGCCCATGGGAGATATCTTGGTGTTCCTCACAGGTCAAGATGATATTGACACTGCTGTTCAGATGCTCACAGATGAAACCCAGAGTAAACAAATACAAGGTATCATGCTTATAATTATTGAAAGTTCAGGAATCTTGTCAAAAAAATTCTATATTCCAATTTTTTACCGATATATCTTGAAGTGGGATGTTCATAGAATTTAATTGCTTTCTAGTGCTTCTGTTCTATGTTTTACGCATTTGCTTCTTAGCACCCTAACTTCAATTTCTCGCCTCAATTTGCATGATCTATTTTTTCTTTTTAACATTTTCACATTTGGTTGCTGGTCATGGTTGGTTTTTGTAAAGAGTCAAATGGAATTTTCATGTCCAGTACTGGAGCCATTCTCACGTACAAATCCACTGAGCATGCTGACCTTTTGCGCTATATTCTGATACTGTTTGTAAAGTCTTGGCCACAAAAGTTTTTATCCCAATTTCTCGTAATTGTTTAATGTTGATTGTTTAGAATCAAATTGGGGTCAGGATATTTGGATGACATGCAATTGTCCGATGCAGATTATTACAAAGTTGATATTGATCACTCAATATTAAATCATCATCTTTGTTATTGTTGAAAGTACATTTTCTGAAATGGAGATTATCAAGACTTCATTGTGCAACTCCATGAGGCTATAATTTGAAAAGGATATTTACATAGTGATAAATGCCTAATTGAGATTATCACACATTTTACAAAATGTGAGAGGATGGAGTATTATACCATGGGTTACTTCAATGACTGAAAGTTGTATATAGGTGTCTAGCGTGCTTTCTTTTAGAACCATTGTAATTTATAAAGATGCTCAATATATTTTGACCAAATGCCATTTCTAGCTTTTTTCGGGCCCAAGGCAGTAAATTAGTCTGGGGGCCTTTACACGGTATAAAAAAGATATCATAAGCTATAGACTTCGTTTCCTATTTGATAATGGTTGGTAAAGGTATAAAATTGGGATGAATTTCGTCCTTAGCAATCCCAAAAAGAAATATAAATGTAATATTCTTGCCTTGGATGCAAATTCCCTGTCCCCTGAATCCCTGATGCAAATAAAAATGTCCCTTTACCATTTCTTTCAGTCGATAGCAATTACCATTGCCAATCCATTTAGTTTTCTTGAAACATTGATGACTTTAAATAAGATTTTATTCAATTGCAGTTTCGAAATACTTATCTCTAAGCAACATTCACTTGTATTGCCAACATTATTTTGAAAGCAATAAATCCCTTCGGAGAACAATTTAACCTTTTTAGATAATCCAATACACCAACCCTATTTCACTCTTCCACTTCCACATTTTCTATTAAAAGTCTCAAAGATTTCAAGCATCAAGATTAGAGTTCTCATTGCAATATGACAAGAATTAAGGATCTCTGTTATCCTGTTTACTTTCATTTCTGATGGTTTCTCATTATGTTGTCTATATGGATGCATTTCATGCGCGCACACACACACACACCGACACACGTGTGTGCAGGCGTTTACACATTGACTAGTTCTGTGTATCATGTTCTGAAAGTGAGTGAAACTGTCTGCTTGTGTGACGATGAGGAATTGAATTTCAATTTACTCTGCTATATTTTCTATCGGGATCCCTGACAGTCTGGCCCATTTTGCCATGGTTTATTGGCAGGATTGATATTTGTACCACTGTACTCAGGACTGCCACGATCTGATCAGGTGGACAATTTGCAGTGCTGTGTTAATTGTTAATATTCTTTTCTTTAATCTTTAATCAACATAGCTTGGTGCATTCTTCATCACCTTATTTTACCTTTTTTAGTTTTTTTGGGCAGGATTTGGTGTTCTCTCCAACTCCCAGAGGAAAGAGGAAAGTGGTAATATCAACGAATATTGCAGAGACTTCATTGACTTTAGAGGTAGCAAGTCTTTGACTTTGGGATGCATGGTAAAGGTAGATAAGTTTACTGATCATTAGCTTTGTACATAATGTTTCATCCAGGGTATAGTTTATGTGATTGATTGTGGGTTCTCAAAACAACGGTTCTACAACCCGGTATGATACTCAACCTTTTCAGATTTCCAATATTCATTTTTTCATTCTTCCATTGTGCAATCAATAAAGCTTTTGGAATTAGAATTACAATTTAAGGACTTCATATTTTTATGATGCATATATTTTTCTTATTGTTTGAGTACTCACAGAGTGACTAGTAATACTAAGATTGCTAAGATTCTTAGCAGTTCGCAGAGTATTAAATGGTGTAGTTTACAATGGCACAATATATATGATTCCATTTCTAAAATATGCTCTGCATGCAATTTAATCCTTCACCGGTTGCCTGATTTTGAAATGATTTTCAGCCCCCCCCCCCCCCACCCACACATCCACACACATCCCTGTTGGGCGGGGGAAGGGAGTGCATGATAATTAGCTTTTATGACTTTACTAATATCAGCAGTCAGCATAATGGACATAAGCCGAAAGTTGTTTATTTAGAATCATTTTCTCTCTCTAAAATTTGTTGCTGCTTTAAAGTGGGACTCATACTTTACTTAAGGTGTGCAACAAAGCATGTGATTTGTGCATATTGAGTATTATGCATTCTTAATTCAATTCTACTTTACTTAAGGTTTTAGACATCGAGAATTTGATAGTGGCTCCCATATCCAAAGCTTCGGCTCGACAAAGGGCAGGTAGAGCTGGAAGAGTTCGGCCTGGAAAATGTTTTAGGTATTTATATCAGATGCNAGAAAAAATATAGTTATATGAACACATCAGGAGTTGGAGATGCTAGATGGCAGCCTGTATTAATAATTTAATACCCCCATTATCTCATGTTATAAGTCCTGTTTTCCTTTTTAGTCTGTCTCGCAAATATGTCCATTTTTCTTTTGTGGACTCCACTAAATTTTTTACTTACATCAACTATCCTTTGTTGATATGATATGCTAACCTATTTGCACAACGGTCACAGAACTTGCCACTATTCTAAGGTTAAAATAGGATAATCAACCATATATCGTTTGTCTTACAATTTTTTTAAATGAAGTCTTTTTCAGACACATTTCAATCTGATTTGAAAAAAAATGTGTATTTTGATCGAATTAGAAACTCATAATTTATTGTTGATCTGCATCTTTTTCCCTTCTTAGGGACATTCACATTTCAATCTGATTTGAAAAAAAATCATTGGCTGCTATTGTGAATATCCAGGCTGTATACTGAGGAGTATTTCTTAAATGAAATGGCTTCTCAGGGAATTCCAGAGATACAGAGATCAAGCCTGGTTTCATGTGTTATTCAGGTATGCATTTAATTTAAATCAATCAATTCTGGACCTAGTTCATAGCTCGTATGTTGTAGAAAGGCATTAACCTGATAAGCAGGAGTCCTTATCCCAACCGGGTTTCTGTTCATCAGTTAAAAATGGAGAGAAAAGTAGGGTGTTGACCGAGCAAGCATAAACATCTCTTGTTCTATTTGACTTTTTTGTGAGTAAGTTATAAGTGTAACTTTCACTTTGAGTTTATTGCCAATGGAGCTAAAAGAGTCATTATTGACAATATTTTAGGCTTGGGTATATAATGAACTAATAAATCAAAATGGCATAAGTGCACTACAAACTTCTTTCTTTCAATAAGGTTTTGGGTAGTAAATGCATCAAGGGTCAAACAGTTGGTTTTATACCGAGGTAGGATGCATAAATCTTGAGCATCTAAATCCGAATGGATTCAGGAATATTTTGAGTTGTGAATTGTAATTGTTACATTCACTGCTTTGGTTAAAGTTAATATAACACACACACACACAAACTGCTGGTGCATACAAAAAAATTAAGGGGGAGAAACATTTATCATCTTCATCTAATCATATAAATATACCTATGTAACCTAAGATGTCAGAGGACATTATATTATGCACTAGATGATTGGAGTGTCACACCCTTCAGAATAAGTTTAATTGTGTAATTTCATAAAACAGAGTTATGTGATCTCGGCCTTTTGTTTTAGTTAGTTCAAGTTTTTGCAGCTTATTTGAAATAAAATATCGCTCGCTAATTCTAAATCTTGTTCTGTTTGTTTTCCAAGAGAATATAGACTATTTTCCTATGCTTATCACTGTTCTTTCCGTTTATCAGTTAAAGGCCTTGGGTATTGACAATATATTAGGTTTTGATTGGCCTGCATCTCCATCACCTGAAGCAATGATTAGAGCACTTGAAATATTGTACTCTCTTGAGGTGCTTGATGATGATGCTAAACTCACTTCACCTACTGGGTTTCAAGTTGCTGAGATTCCATTGGTATGTTACAAGAAATATGATTATGTTTCTCTATGGTTGGTTAATACAGTTAGGATGCATTTCCAGTATCCTATATTATTATAAAACTTCTAGCAAAAGAGTCTTCAATTGTTGGTCCAATTTTCAATTACATAATTATATAGGATCCAATGATCTCAAAAATGATCCTGGCTTCAAGTGTATCTGGATGCTCCGAGGAAATTATTACTATCACTGCAGTTCTTTCAATACAGGTGAAACTATTTTCATCTTAATTGAAACAAATAGAACTCATGGTCATTCAATCGGAAAAAGTCATTCTTCTAACCATATTTTCTTGATTTCACTTTCTGATTCAATGTGAGCTTTTCCTTGTTTTGCAGTCCATCTGGATTTCGTTAAGGGGAGTACAAAAGGAAATGGATGAAGCAAAGTTAAGATTTGCTGCAGCTGAGGTTCAACAACTTTTTTGATATGCTAATGTAATTTTAATCCAACCAAAATAATTTAATGGAATCAAAACTGGCGGTTTCTTCCTAAGTAACTGCAGTTCAGTATAACTGAATGGTAAATAATGAATATTGAATATATACTAAACAACAACGAAGCAGGGAAATAGTTTATGATACATTGTTTTGGCCAACTCAACTACAGTTGAAGGATGTATGATGTCCCTTGTTAGTAGAGCACACAACTTGTGTCTGAAACCATGCAGACACCATTTTCCCCTTGTCATTCACATGGCTAAGAACATATACATGTTGAGTTGAAGGCCCTTATTGTCACAAGTAACTGGAGTCTCTTCCCCTTTAATTGTACGGAGTAAAATCTTCATTGTTGTTTTGTTGACACACACCCTAATGATTGCACAACTGATACTATTCAGGGTGATCATGTGACTTTCTTAAATGTGTACAAAGGATTCATTCAGTCAAAAAAATCTTCCAAATGGTGTCAGAAGAATTTCATTAACTATCATGCCATGGCAAGTACATCCTTTTGCATCAACACTTCGTTTTCTAGTGATTTTGTTCTTGTGCTGCTTTCATGTAATAAGATTTTGTTTTCTACTTTCATAGTCTCCATCTTACAATAAAATTTTTGATTGGACCTTAGCCATTAACATTTAATTAACCATTTTTTGTACCTTTTTTTTACAGAAAAAAGTTATGGAAGTTAGGGAACAACTAAGAAGGATTGTTCTGCATTTGGGCTTAAGCTTGAAATCATGTGAGGGGGACATGCAGGTAGTAGACGTGGCTAAGTCCTCTCAATCCATACTTGTAGGCTGTAGCATCATTCATTGGGATGAATCATTTCTGAGTTTGAAGCATTAGAATTGCGGCCTCTCTTATGACGAATGGCAATGACCGTAAAAATGAGATTTGGTTCTGTTTTTATAAGATGATATATACCTAGCATAGCAAGTCTGTCTTCAATGAGATTTGGTTCTGTTTTTAAAATTTTTGGTGTTTACAGCCCTTGTTAAGAAATACTGGCTTTGGGAAGCGCACTCTTTTGGCACTATGCATATTCCGATTTTTGTTTTTTTGTAAAAGTGATAACCTTCATAACTCTATCTTAAATCATTTCACAGGTACTAAGGAAAACGATTACGTTGGGATTTTTCGCTAATGCTTGCCGTTTAGAGGTAAGTAATACAAGTATGACTGTATGATGGGTCTGTGTGACTTATTCCCCTTTCCCTTCATGCGACCCTTTTTATCTCTATCTGAAACATCATGGTATGCATTTTCAGCCATTTAGCCACAATGGCATGTACAAGACAGTAAGGAGTTCTCAAGAAGTTTATATTCATCCTTCGTCTGTTTTATTCAGGTATGTTAATATATACTCTCAAATCATCACAACTCCTTGAATGGGGAGATGAAAATTACCAATCTGAACGGTGTGTTTGTATCCTTGACAATACTTGTGAAATGAAGAAGAAAATCCAAGGGAAATGAAATGTTATTGGTTGATTACTTTACAACATATATTTGGATTTGATAGAATACTGGAAGAATCGTATTACTCAAAGAATTATCGAAATGTATAAGACAATATATATAGGTGTCAGTTCTACCAGGCTTAGGAAACTACAACAAAATTTAAACTGACTTGAGTACAATGAGTACCATAATAATAATATTAATGTGATGATGATGATGATGATAATAATAATACTTGCAATAATTGTCTAACATCCCCTCAAGCTGAACCACGCGAAACAAGTGTCCGATACCGCAGCAAAGGTAGAGCTTTACTAAGGAGATCAGCTAACTGAGAAATATCAGAGACAGCCATGGTCCTAACAATGGCTTCGTCACGCACAAAATAACTTGGGGTAGACTGGTGAGGATCTGATAAACACGGATACCCATTGGAAAGATACTCGTAGCCAAGGAAGTTAGAGTGTTTTGAACAGAGTTGTATATTATGACCGTTTTAATAACAGAGGTTGGAATAGGAAAGACAACCAAAAACACGTAAAGAAGAGTAATTTTGGGTGGTGTGATAGAGAACTTCATATGGTGGTATGATAAAGAACTTCATATGGAGACTTAGAGTGAAGAGAGTGTTTGGGCATATGGTTTATGCGGAAATTGGTTGTAGCAAGGGCTTTGACCCAGAAAATGGCAAGGAGAGAGGCAGTTTGTAAGAGGGTGACAACTGTATCAATTAAGTGACGATGTTTTTGTTTAGCAACCCCATTCTGTTCTGGGGTATAACGGTGGGTAAAATTTATAATGTAGGACTTCCAAGGATTGTAAGTAGCGACCAAACTTTTGATTTTGTTGCCAAACTAAATTTGTACCATGAACTGAAAACTTTGAAACACACCAGTCCTCAGATTTGTGTTTAAGGGTCTGTTTGGTTGGAATTGAAAATTTTGTACCATCGATGTTATGTTATACGATGCTAAAGCCAACATAACATCATATAATCACCAATAAAATTAATGTAGTAATGTTTGCTACCAAAAGAAGGAATAGAAAACCATTAGACTTAAACAATATACCTAATTGAGACAATAAATTAATGACTTGAACAGACGGATGCCAAGACGGCAATGCCACTGAGATGCTATTGCAGCATCATTAATCAACATGGATATTGTCGCCTGGGTTGGACGAGCGACAGATGGAAATGAAACAGGTTGGGAAGGTAGAAAAGTGTGTAAATCCTGCTCACAAGGGTCTTGGTATGTCACTTGGTCGGTACATTGTTATGTTTGTCCAGAATCATAAATTCCTTAGATGTAAAAAGAAGAGCAATTATTTTCGGTGGTGAATTTGTGAACGGATAAGAGGTGAGGTTTGAAGGAAGGAACATGACAGGTTATATACGGTGAAATCTGTTGGTGTAACCGCCTGTCTTGAGCCAACATGTGAAATAAGAAGTGATTCCCCTGTGATCGAATTGGACCCCATGATATGGAGAAGAATTGTAGAGCCTTGTGTAATCCAAACTCACATGAGTATTTGCACTAATGTTCAGATGCCAATCTTGATTGGTTTTGTAGGAGTGGTATAAAAATATTCTTCATGGTACTATTGTAGTGGATCCAACAGTCCCATGTTGCATGGTTGTACTTGCCACAAACTTGGCAAACTATTGATCCATCACACGGTTGTCCACGACCCACCGACTCACAACCTTTGCCATAGTGTTGCCGCAATCACAGCCATTCCTGCCGGATGTTCTTGTAATTCATTCTTCAGACAAAAGCCAGGAAGAGACTTGATTGAAGGTGAGATTTTCGATATTGATGCAAATATTTTAATTTAGGGAAGCATATTCATTCGCTAGCCCTCCGAGGACCCTCAGGCAAGAGCAAGAGCAGTGACAATCTCGTACATAGTGGAAGGGACCTTTATGACTTTACGAAGCTTATGTAATTGTTCTTTGAGTTGAAATATTTGGGATAACGAATTATGCCATTGATGAAGTTGAGTCCATATTTCAGCTGCTGTGGGACAAAGGTGAACTATCGGTGTGTCGGCATTCTCGGCGTCTAACAGGATTCATTAGTCTTTATATTAATAAACAAATGAAATGGGTATCAAGAAATCTGGATTTATTTATTTTATTTTACTCCATACTTTATTTCCCTCTCACAACTGGGGTTTCCACCGGGACTTTTGCAGGGTAAATCCGAAGTGGGTGATATACCAATCTCTGGTTTCCACAGATAGACTGTACATGCGAAATGTGATCTCCGTAGATCCTTCTTGGCTGAGAGAGGCTGCTCCACATTTTTACCAACTTCAACACCCTTCTTCTATCCCTCATTAATCCCCCCCCCTAAAAATGTATCCTCTCTGTGTACATAGGCTACATTGTGCTGATATATATATATATCCTGCATCTGGTGACATTTTTGTAACATTGTAGTGACGATTACTTTTTGTTGTTGCGGGGTTTGACGATTACTTATTATTCATCTAAAGAATGGTTATTCTGTTTCTTTTCTTATTCTTTTCATTTTCTTTTAGCAAAATGATCCTTTCAGTAAGTGTAAGTGTACAATTTGTCCAAAGAGAGATTTTATGGTGGACCTAAGGTCCATACAGATCTTCTCACATATTTTTTTTATTTTAAAAATATTTATTTAACATATATGAAGGTCTATTAGAGTCTTAAGATTCTTAGGTATAGGTAATAATTTCCATTAACCAAAAGGATTATCTCATTTAACTTACCTAAAAGATGAGAAAAAAAATCTAACTACACACTTTTTTGCCACACTACCAATAAAGGTGGAATTTAATTTATGTCATGTTTTCTTTAATTTATTTATTCTACGAGAAATGCTAGAGTCACAAAAACTCCAGTCACAAAATACACAAACTTTCCATTTGTGCACCTCACCAAGTGAATAAAATAATGATAAATAATTAAAAAAATAGACATTTAAATACATAAATAGTAAGTTTGTGTATTTTGTGACCAAAATGTTTGTGACTCTAGCACTTCTCTTCATTACTTATGCTTATTAGAATTAGGTAAGATGGCTTCAGATGAGAGCATACTTGATCAACAATTGCTTTAAACTAGATTATATTCATATAAGAACAGATTTATTCCAATCAGATTTGAGCAGTTCTAAAAAATTTAGATCAAATTTTAATAAGTTCGAAGATAACATAAGCCTTAATCTCATGACCTTTTGGGACCTCACGCGAGCCTTAATCTCCATTTGAGCCTTTAATATGCTAGTACTATATTTATTGCAAAGTTTTTTTTGTTGAACTTGACTTTTTTGAAGCAAAATAGATACTAAGTACTCCGTAATTTTTTATCTCCTGTCAAATACGGAGAAAAAACTTTTACACCAACAATGATTCGGGAAGAAAAAATTCAAATTATTTATACTATGTTTGGTTCAAAGATTTAAGAAAGAAGAAAAAATAAATTAGTTTTTCCTCATTTTTTCATGGCAATGAGAGAATTTTGTTTTTCTTTCTCAGGGTATATTTTGCGTTCTCATTTGTTTTTCTTTTATTTTACTTTTATTTTCCTCTCTAATCAAACAATAAATATTATTTCCTTCATCCCTAAAAAAAACTTCTGTGTAAAATCTCGTAATTTTTAAAATAATTTTATTTACAAAACTCTGCTGAGCAAAATGAAGTTAAATTATTGTGCAAAACCCCTTCTTCTTCTTCTTCTTCCCAGGCTTTCCTCCTCCATTCCGATCTTCTTCTATAATCTTGGGATGATGGCATGATGATGGTGTCCGTCCTAAGAAGGGTTGCATCATATTCGTCTTCTCTCCCATTCCCACTCCCCATGGACTGCTCATCATCTCCTTCCCACAGGCTCATGGCCTTGGCCAAGCAGCTGCGCCTCTACAAGGCCCCGCCGATTGGGGAAGACGGCGATGCGGAGGAGGAGATCTCCGGGAAGGTGGTTTCCGCGGTGGGTTTTCAAGAATCTGCGAGCTCCGTCGGCGGTGCCCTGCCGGAGGAGAAGTTCAGACCTAAGAGAGCCGCCGTCTTGATCTGCCTCTTTGAAGGGGATGCCGGAGATCTTCGTGTTATTCTCACTCGGAGGTCTTCGAATCTCTCTTCCCACTCTGGTGAGTCAATTTGTGTCTTTTTTTTAGTGTGTGGCTGATGATGTGTTTTTGGTACTTCATTGCATCATGGTGCTCTGATATGTACTAGCTCTGTCTTGATTGTCTTTTGTACATATCATCATTACCAACAACCTTAGTAAAAATGTAAAATCCCAAAATGGTGTTGGCCATGTGTGCATCAGTTGTCCCATGGCCGAGGCTATGTGGGCCAAGTCACACATGAGTTTGAATGTCGTGGGTGCTTGTGTTTGTTGAATGCTATAAGGCTAAGGTATGCGCTTTTCCTTCCACTAATTGATTTTAGAAGAGTTGGTAGCGCCTAGGCCCTACAATGAGTAGGGTTTGGGGGAGAGAGTCTGTGTATGCAATCCTTACCCTTACTCAGAAGTAGAGATGTTGTTTTCAAGAAACCATGACTTAAACATAGAACAAAGAGTGCAAACACAAGAAGCACACGTACCGGGACTAGGAACTAGACTCTAAGCACCGAAAACATGGAAAGCAGATAGGCACAAGCTACATACTAAGCTCAAAAGGTGTATTCGGTTATACTAATCCTAGCTCTCCAAGTCTTCCAATCTAAGGTTGTCTATTGTGCATACCATTGAGGAAAATTCTATCCCCTTATCATAGCCGGACAAGTCGAGTTTGTTTAGGAGGACTGCAAATCTTTAGTATTTGTGATGCAGGTGAAGTAGCATTGCCTGGTGGGAAGGCAGAAGAAGGAGATGCAAGTGACGCCGAGACCGCTACAAGGGAAGCTCAAGAAGAGATTGGACTCAATCCCTCACTTGTGAATGTTGTGACTTGCCTCGAGCCTTTCTTGTCTAAGGTAATGCATTTGTCTCCTATTATCTCTACTTGTCACTTTTGCAAAAAACTCTATCTTTAGCCAAAGGGGGGTCGTTCAAGTACAATTCACTGCTAATGATTTTTTTATTTCTATTCATGTAGCACCTGCTGAGAGTGATTCCTGTTATTGGGATACTCACCGACAAGAATGCATTCAATCCCACACCCAATGTTGATGAAGTAGAAGCTATTTTTGATGCTCCGTTGGAAATGTTTCTCAAGGTTTCACACTCACCAATATTTCTTTTTTCCCTAAAAAAATTCCACTTTTAGTCCCATGACTTTTACTTCGTTCTTACTTTTGATCCCAACATTCATTTTTTCCACTTTTGGTGCACCGCCATGGACCTTTAGCAACTCATGTTCATTTCCAGTCGCTTGGATTCTATGTAAATTGACCCAATTCTTCGTCATGCGCTAAAAGTTCGGGACCCAAAATGGGAATGACTTGATTGATGTGTAACAACCTCCCTGGTTCTGAGTAGGGGTAAGGTTTGCGTACACACATCATCCCTAGACCCTACTTTTGTGTGGGATTTTACTTGGTTTACTTGTTCACTTTAATACTCCCGTTGATGGTTGTTTATGGGAGACTATGGTAATCTTCCTCAGGATGAAAATAGAAGAGAAGAAGAAAGAGAATGGATGGGGAATAACTATTTAGTCCACTTCTTCGATTATGCGATGGGGAACAACAAGTATTTGATTTGGGGTTTAACAGCTGGGATCTTGATCAGAGCTGCATCCATTGTGTACAAGAGACCTCCTGATTTTCTGGAACAACATCCTAAATTCAAGGCTCCCATGCTTTTATAATGAACTCCTTAGAGCATTCGTGCTTCAGAAAGTTCAGCCAGAATATTTCTGAATGAATATTTGAGATGCAGAATTGCACTGCAACATGTTCTATCATTACTTGCTGCCATTGCCATGATCCAGGTAATATTGGGTATTTTTTGAGGAGACGAAATTACCCCTGCAGTTCGCCGCTCCGAATCGAACGGTCGGGAATTTTCGGATATGGGATTTGGAATTTGCACAGATCAGTATACCCTTTGTGTTAATAGTTGTGTACTTATCTGCAACTTGTATGAATGTGTTAAATCTTTGTTTGTCAGCAGAGAGCACTGAAGATGTTAAATCTTTGAGAAGCTTTGTAGCTACAGATCTTGTGTGATGATGTCCATTGAAACCTTATTTGACTCCTCCTAATGAATGTACTGTGTTTCATTTGGCAGCATCCATTTGTTAGGGTTACAAGTAGAAATGTCAAATATGTGGGTCAGGTCGGGTTTGAGTTTAGCTCCTTTGGATTTGGATAAGTTCGGGTTCAGATTTAGAAATGCATTTTCGTATCAGTTTCAACCACAATAAATTAACAAACCCTTGCAGCAGATTCAACAACTTTTGTCCAATTAAGTCAAATACCAAACAGAAGAAGCAGAAGTAAGAAAATCATAGCAATAGAGGAATAATATCAACACAAACTCTCATAAATTCCCATTACAAGAAAGGGTACAACTTTGGCAATTCATTTGTAAGAATGAACAAAATGTGACCAAGCCAAAATCTAGCCAACCTGATTCATAACAAACACAATTTTGCACATAAACAGCAACAAATCCAGTTAAATCCCACAAAAAAAGGGCCAGGAAAACATAATTTTAGCACATCTTGTAATGAATTTATCTGATCTCTTCAACTAAAAACCTCGTAAAATTTCTCGATGACGAGCAGCCCCGAGTCGATCGACTCCAACGGATCTTTCCGGAGCCGGTGCCTCAAACAGTTAGGTATCACAGTTGCAATGTCCTCAGCAGTGACACTATCCCTTCCTTTTAGGGCACCCAATGCCCTTGCAGCCCGGTTAGTTACGATATCGCCCCTGAGCCCGTCCACATTCAGTTCAGCGCAAACCTTTGAGATCTTGACCCGAAGCTCGTGATCCATCGTGACCGAAGAAAGCCCACTCCTAGCCGACGCAATCTGGGCCCGGAGCTTCTCTTGCTCTTCTTTGTAGGACTCCCGGAATTCTTTCGGGTTTCGGTCAAAGCGGGCCCGCTCCTCTACGATCTTCACTCTCATTTCGGCATCCCTGACGGTCCCCACCTGTGCGTGCATTCCGAACCTGTCGAGAAGCTGGGGCCTCAGCTCTCCTTCTTCGGGATTTCCGGACCCGATGAGGATAAACCGGGCCGGATGGGAGACTGAGATTCCCTCCCGTTCGACCGTGTTCCATCCGGACGCGGCGGAGTCCAATAGAACGTCTACCAAATGGTCATCCAATAGGTTGACCTCGTCCACGTAAAGAATCCCTCTATTCGCTTTGGCGAGGAGACCCGGCTCGAATGCCTTCACACCCTCAGTGAGAGCCTTCTCGATGTCAATGGTCCCACAAACCCGATCCTCGGTGGCTCCCAATGGAAGGTCAACCATGTTGATTTTGGTCAGGGCAACGGGTATATCTTCACCCGCAGAAATTTTCTCACGGATTTCAACACTCATTACCTCGGGGTCCTCTGGGTCCGAGTTGAACGGATCGCCCGAAACAACTTTGATTTCGGGGAGTAAATCGACCAATGATCGAACGGTTGTGGACTTCCCGGTTCCCCGGTCGCCCATTATCATCACGCCTCCAATCTTTGGGTCGATCACGTTGAGCAAAAGACATAATTTCATCTCATCTTGTCCAACTATTGCAGAAAAAGGATAGACTGGTCTGCTCTCACTAGCTGCAAGCTTTTGAGCCTGCAATTTACAAAAAGATTTAATACCCAATCTAACCCCTTGGCTTATCTTTCATTACCAGTTCTGGTCATCGAGTTTCTTTTTAATCCAAGTTCGTCGTCCACTTCAAAATTCGGACCCAAGGGAATCCTAATACATGTTTGGTTCTAAATTATAAGGGCATTTTGGTCTCAACTTCGGAGTCATTTTGGTTCTCAACAATGTAATTTGGACCTGATTCAGTCATAATTGTACTGAAATACCCTTATTAACGAGAGCAATGCATGGCATGGAAGTCCAATTTCAGTCCAAGAGAAAATCGAAGACAAAATCGAGTAATATTGTATGGGAACATGGTTTTAAGTTAGCATTCACATTTTGGATTTTTTCTAATAGTATAGATTAACTTCGAAAATGCTAAAGTTAAAAACTCCGTTAGATAGCTTTTTCAAAACACTGAAGCTATTGCAAAGCGGGAACAAACTCTCTACAAAAGAGGTTGAAACTTTACTAGTAAAAATGAAGCCTCAAGTGGTCTGGGGACTACAACACTCTCAAGAAATGTTCGTTTTTTGTTTTTTCTCTTTGATACATACACGAGTGTTCGATAAACTTACCTCAGACCCATACACTTACAAAGAAATCCCTCAACATTTTGACCACAGCACAAGTGTTTTTTTCTTCAATCCATTAGGGTGAGTTTGGGACTTCAACAATAGTAGAGAAAAAGATATGGAGAAAAATAGTTAGGAGAATCGGAAGAAAAAACTTTTGTCCAAACTCTATCTACGCTATATAACTATTAGAATTTCATTTTCCTTTGCATTTTCCAAGGCAAAACCAAATATAAACACACATACTCCATTAGAATTTCTTCTCCTTCTCCTATCATTTTCCTGCATCCAAACATGCCTTAAATAATTCTTTTTTCCCCTCTAGAAGAAACTCCACACCAACTACAACAAGCTCCAATGGCCAAAATGAAATTTCTCTACCAATTAAAATCAAATTAATCACAGTCTAAAACTAACCTCTTAAAGCACCCATATATAAAGAAGAAGAAAGAAGAGATAATACCAATTGTTGAGCAGGGCTAATTTCAGTGGTCACATTCGAAACTGAAAATCGGAACTGAGACTTCCTCTTCTTCTTCACTACCAGCCCAATCCCGCCACTAAACTTATTCCCCACACTGAATCCTGCAATCAGAACAATAATACATAAAATAAATCAAGAAACAAACCCAAAAAAAACCAAGAAAATGAATATATAATTTGGGAAAAAAAATTCCATGAAATAGGAAATTTCGAAAAAACCTGATGAAGGGTTGATGGAAGGGTGGGAAGAGAAGAGTTTAGAAGAAAGAATTGGGAGAGTGGAGGAGTTTGTTCCTCCCAGAAGGAGAGTGGCCATGGCTAAAGTGAGCTGCTTTCACTGTGAATGAAGGATGATTGATTTATGGGGTCCTCTGGATAAGAAGATAGATCTTCAGTTTTCTTGGGTAGTATAGTTTTTTTTATTGGGCCTTCCTTACCCCTGTTGGGCCATTGGAGTGAAAATGTTTCTTTTTGTTTTTAACAGACTGAATTCCCAGAACAGTCCTTTCTAATGTGGTATTTTTCTCAATTTAGTCCTCAAAGCAATAATCACATGTGATCATTTATAATTTAGATTAATTCTCTAAATAGTTCTCTATCAAAATTATCTATTAAGTATCAGTAAAATAGAAGATATTTTAGTATTTTTATCATATAAAATTAAAGTATGTTCTCAAAATGTTCTTTTATAAATAAACATTTGTCCAAACTCATAATTTCTTAGTATATGTATTTCCGAAATGAAGCCATGAGCCGTCTCGGCGTGGGTTCGTTCCTCTAGCAGTCACATACTTAATTTGATAGGACCATTTTGAGGGCTTATTCATAGTCTAGATCATTGAAAATACAAAAATACCCTCTATTTAACTTTCATTTAATAGACATTTTTTATAGAGACTATTTACGGAATATATATCTCAATTACAAAAGACTACATTAGTAATTAGTGTTTATTGAGGACTAAATAAGGAAAATACCTTATTAGAAAGAATTATTTTGGGAATTTACTCAATAATAACAACTCCATATTCAGACTAGCAGCTCATAAAATGACACACAACAAAAAAAATTAAAATTGGCATTAAGATAAAATTTACAGGGCCGGCTGGAAGGGTGGGCAGGATGGTCATTGGGACAGGGCCCATGTTTTAGAGGGCCCAGGTTATATACGCATTGTGCAGTATATTTTTATATATTTACATTTCTTTGTTTAATGTTTATAATAAAATACAAAAAAAAGTAAAGATTAAGCTAAGAGAAAGTGGCCTAGTGGGCCAAAATTATCTACATACGGAATTAGGGATCTAATGCTAATACCCAAACGACCAAACCAGTAGCCATTAAGGTATGCAATAATGTTAATTATCGTTACTATAATGTTATTTAATTTGATATTATTCTTCTTTAATTATTCTTATTACTATAATGTTAATTATCGTTAGATACATTAATTGATAAATTTTATTATATTATGACACAATGACCCATTTTCTGTGTGTCGTACAGGGCCCTTAATTTCTTGGGGACGGCCCTGAAAATTTACTACTCTCGATGTCTTCCGTTTGTTTAATCTAATTGAATCTGATCTTTTTTTAAGGCTAATCTGATTAAATCTGATCTAATTTAAATTAACGTTAAAATTATCATAAGAAACTTAAATTTGTACACAAAATACTCTATCGCCATTGGAATTTACAAAAATCCTTGTTCAATTTATTATTTAAAAAGATCATATAAGACCCAAAAAGAGTTAATAACTATGTGCATGTGCCCCCATTTCCCGTCATCCTTATACTCCCTCCGTCCACAAATAAACTTTACGTTTACTATTTACAGGGTCAAACTTTATTCACTTTGTTGGCCTATTTTCGTCACCCATTTGATAAAATAATATAGTCATGTCATCTCTAGTTTTGTAGATCTTTTGATATAGTTTTTTAATATTTAATTTTTAAATTTGAATTCTACACCATTTTTCATATAAAATGATTTGAAAATAAATTCAGTCAAACATCGTAACGCGCAACGTAAAATTTATTTGTCGACGGAGGGAGTATTAATTTAGAAGGGAAGTACATGATTTGTGGAGAAGTGAGTGATGGGACAAAAAATTGGGATAGGAGAGAGGGAGGGGACAAAGAATCCCAAGCCTTCCAAAAGCCCCTAAATAAAAGACATTACCATATTACCGTTATTCCCCACTACCCACCCATCACACACTATGCCATGTTTTTTTTAGTGCTCCTAACCTTTAAAAACTGACACAGTTTGACTTTTTTTGGTAAAATAATTGCATACTTTAATCGTGAATTACGTAAAAAGTACATTTAGTTATAATGTAAATTTAGTAAAATTAGGACCATTTTAAAACATAGTTTTGAAATACCAAAATTTTATAATATATAAATATTTTAAACTATATTTAATTTTTTGTCAAAGGGTGCCACGGCTTGACGAAAAAAGCCATACTGAGTTGGTTCCTTGGTCTTGTGGACTAAGATGTCACGTACACGAAACCCAATGTCATCCAATTTTTAAAAATTTGAGGTTTCACGTGCAAGTCTCGAAACGATTATGCTGCAAGTGAGGAGCCGTGTTAAGTTAGAATACATAACGTTTCCTATAACTACAACGAACAATAATCTTGAGTTTCTAGTTGAGTTGGTTTGAGAACGTACATTTCGTGCATGTTAAAAGAACCGAACATAAACTCGGTCTTCTTTGATTTGAGTTGAGAGGAAATTAAAACAACCTAAAAGAACCGAACCAACATTTTAATGGCAGCACGCAGAACGTAACCTTAAAGTTTAAGACAAAAGAAAAACAAAGTATAAATGGAATAATCGGGTTGGTCGGCGGGGGCTCATATATGTGTGTGTAAGATATATTAGATCAGAGAATTATATATATATATATATATATATATATATATATATATATATATATATATATATATATATATATATATATATATATATATAATTCTCTGATCTAATATATCTTACACACACATATATGAGCCCCCGCCGACCAACCCGATTATTCCATTTATACTTTGTTTTTCNAATTTGTACCCCATTTGTACACTGCAGTTATGCACAAACATTTTGATGGTTTACACCGACACAAGCGTTGGTGCGTTAACAAAAATGTACACGGACACAAAGTGTTGGTGCGTTAATAAAAAATAGTTTTACACCGACACAAAATGTCGGTGCAATCCTGCTGTGTACAAATGGGGTACAAAAATTTGGAGTACAAATAGCTTTATCCATATATATTCGGCCGGCCCCAAAGGAAATATGCAGAGATAAAATGGTAAAGTTAGTTAGACCGAAAGTTAATTAATTGGAGAATAATTTAGGATTAATAAGCTATTTGTATCCATCCAAAGATTTGTACCCCAATTTGTACATCTTCATTTTGTGTCATTGTAATGTTAGGGTGATTGTTCACACATACACAAAATGTTAGTGTAAATTTTTGTTGACGCACCACCATTTTGTATCGATGTAAACATCAAAATATTAGTGTATACTTTTTTGGGCTTAGTGCATGTTAGGAGTACTAATAATAACTTATTTATTCCGTACACAAACTTAATTGGCTTACTTATCCTTAATTGGCTTACTAATAATAAGTTATTTCTTAGAGCTCATCTATACTACTTATCCTTAATTGGCTTTGCCACTTTTTACTACTCCATCACCTCATCATCATCATCATCTTCTCACTTACCCAAGTGATTTACTTTGAATTTTTTTTGTGTCATTTATCCACAAATTCCTTATAAAAAGTGAAGGGTGAATAATGGTTTTACCCATGTTTCGAAATGCACCATTACTATCTATCTACTCTCTACGTCACACAAAATCTTTCTTCTTTCTTTTTTTATCCGTGCCAAAAAACCTTTATCTTATTTTTATTAAAATTGCCCCTACTAATTCTTAACCTACCTATCACACTTTTTCATTATTAATCTAACTATCATATCTACTTTTACCCATCACATCCAAGAGTATTTTTAAAAACCGATCAACACCAAAATACACTCCCTTTAAATCATTTAAAAGTCGAAATCCGAAAGATTTTGTGGGACAGAAGAAGTATATATATACTTTTTCCATGAAGTGCATGTCTTACGTATGTACATGCTTTTCCCCAAGTTTTGAAATGTTTTTTCTTCAACTTTCAAAATTGCATCATTAGTCACTATACTTTTCATAAAGTGCGTATTTCTCCCCGGGTTTCAGCTCAAGAGTGCATCATTTTTTTAAAAAATTAAAGGGTATGTACATGGTTGAGACCGACTCTGAGGATTTCTTTTGGTTGAACATCGTCTTTAATCAAACTTGAATAAAAAGAAAAAATAACTTGGATGACATAACTGCTAACTGCTGCAAGCTTGTCAAAGTTGTCTCACGTCTTAATTAAAACAACTATTACTGGAGTTTGATGAAGGCGCTATTGATGAGTTTGTTTTTAATTTTCTTTAAGTTTCAACAGATATATAGGTATATTCTTAAAACCCTAATGTGCACAATTTCTTGAACCCCCCATAACGTGTACAGTTTCTTGAAAAAAAAACAAGTTCATCACCAACGACGTTTGGCACGGATGCGTCCGTGCCAACAAAAGAAGGAATGGAAACACGAACACGCCATTTGGTCTACTTTTCCACGCTGCTCGATGCTCTACCATCCGTGCCAATCTTTCCGTGCCAAATCTGTGTTTTTAAGTAGTACATTTCAAGTGATGAGACGTGAGAAAAAAAAACTTTGACAAGCAAGCAAATGAAACAATTACCGAGTAGTAGTTATCTCCTACAAGTTTTGTTTCTTGTTATTCAAGTTTGCCTAAAAATATTGTCCAACCATTCAATCATGCATCATTAATGATACACTTTTGAAAGTTGGGACGAAAAACATGCGCTTTCTGAAAAATATAGAGACTAATGATGTAGTTTTAATAGTCCAGAGGGAAAATATATAATTCATGAAAAGTTCGTAGTTAAATAGCACAAAAAAACTCTTTTCACTTTTTCAGTTAGTTATTCTACTCCCTCCGTCCCATGAAACATGGGATGTTTTGCTTTTTGAAGAGATTTAAGGAAGTGTATTTTGGTATTGAATTTCCAAAAATATCCTTTGATGTGATGGGCAAAGTAGGATTTGATGGGTAGATTATTAGTAAAAAGGTATGATTTGATAGGTAAGGTATGAAAAAGTAAGGGGTAAAAGTAACTTTTTAATAGAAATGAGAAGTGTTGTATGGGACGGATGAAAAAAGAAAGGAGAAAGGTTTTATGGGACGGAGGGAATACAAAACATTTTTAATGAACTCACACTTTTGTCCAATAATGTCCATTATTTGGCGATGTACTTTCCAAATAGCGTAACTATATATAGAATTAAATAACTCTAAGTTACTTTCCAACTTAATTCTTGTCTCAAAATTACATACTCGTCAAACATTTTAATAATGTACTACTTTGGAATAAAAATATCATATTTTTGTATAAATAAAAATAT